GGGGGGGAGTGGGGGACGCCTGGGGCAGAGCCGGACTATCGGAAGGGAGGGCTATGAGGGGTCTGGGGTGGCATCCCCTCCCACCCCATCCCAGACCTCTCATAGCCCCCCCTTCTGATATTCCAGCATATCTGATAATCCAGCACCCCCTGGGTCCTAAAGGTACTGGATTATCGGAAGTTTACCGTAGATGGAAAAAGTCACCAATTAATATACTCCTGGGGACTCCCATGGGCTCAGGACTGAGTTACAAAAGGGAGGAAAACCCATTTCTAACAGCACAGACATCAGATCCAAAGTCCCATAACAGAAAACAATAAAACCTAACGGCTTTATCTAAACTTTACCCTACTTACACATTTTTAAGAGTCTTTTTCTTGAAGAGAGACATGTCTTCCATCTCTCTCAGTATCTAGAGAGCAAACTGGCCCAAGAGACAAAGAAGGAAAAACCCTAAACCTTTGTCTCAGTTTGAAATCCCTATCTGCATTTCTATTGGCTGACTGCTACCTGGCTAGACAGTTAACCTCTTAGTCCCCAGGCTGCTGGCCATCCCTCAAATCCATGACACCAGCATTTCCAGAATTAGGCAGGCTGGACTGTGTATTCAGCATAGCAAACTTGGCAGCTGCTCTTTTGAGCTTGTGTGAATCACATTTGCTATAGTTGGGCTATAATTTTAGAAATTTGGGGTTAAATATTCAAATGGAGGGATCAAGTGTATGTGCAATAAGTGTCCGTGAGAACATTCGGCTGTGCTTGTCAGCAGGATCTGCATGTGCAGATAAGTTAAAGGCACCTACAAGATGCTAACGTGGTTTGTGGAACTTGTTCCTGATTTTCAGTTAAATAGTATTAATCATGTGTGCAATCACTAATGCCCCTTTGTGAGTAGTTTATTTGGATTGATTGACTGCATGGAGCTTGGCCTGCCCCAACTAACTAATGAGCCTTAAAGCTGATTGCACTAAGAATAGGATTAATGCTCTGGAAAAACAAATCATTTAGTAACTCCAGCAACTTTATACTACATAGCCTTAGCCTTTTCCCAGTGTCAATGACCGGAGAATGCATTTAAAAAAATAGTACTGGTGTTTCACTCAACGCCAGTGTATTTGTTTCTATCTTATGCCTTGTAAACCCAAGCTAAGGTAGTCACAGAGAATGTGTTACTACTCAAAAATAATTTTATTTCCAAAGCCTGTGTTTTTCCCGCTTTCCACTATAATACTGCTTACTTTTAAGCATGAGAAATGGATCTTGGTACTGAGGCCACAGAAACAAATACATGTACAATGTCGCATTGTTTTAAAAAAAGCCTCCTAGTCTAGTTCAGTCAGACACAAACTGAATCAAAGTTGATCATTGCTACCATAGTTATATGCCACTAGTCTCCAAATATCCCTACATGCTGAAAACTCTGCAGAGGGGTGAGAACGTTGCCCATGTATGATGATGAAGCTCAGAGGTGAAGATGCTTTGGGAGAACACAAGTAAGGATATCAAGAAACTGACAGGTTTCTCCACCCCAGTAATCCCAAAAAACATCTGGCCGGCATTTCCACCTATCCTGTTGAAAGTGCTACATGGATTTCTGTTTGCATATATGGAAGCCGCTCAGAAACTACTAGCCAACAAGGGAAAGCAAACTAGAGAGACCAGAGAGAGGAGGATGGAAATGCTTCAGTAGACTGGCCAAAAAATTAGTAGAGGTACAATAGGGAATAATCCAGCATTGGCAGGCATAGTTACTATCATTTTGTAGGATTTTTCCATCTGCAACACCTCTGATTCTTTGATGCGCAGTTCCAGAAATAATACTCTGACTATACGACTGTCTGTCTGCTTTCCACCCCTGTGCAGAGAGACAAATCAGCTCTTGGCATGCTATAGAATCTATTAAATTTCCTCCCTGAATCATTCCTGGATTTTAAATTACTGTGATACATATCACATTGTACAGAACAGAAAGAGATATACCCAGGATAGTTAACAGTTTTCTAAGGGGTGAGCATACTGGGCTATTATTGGCTAATTAATGTTTTGAATCACTGTTACTGCAATAATTATCATTCCTTTAACACTACAGGGTAACGGCTTCAGTATAACTAGATAAGTGTTACCTATGGCTGGGATTTTCAAAGGCACTATAGGGCATTAGATATCCAACTCCTATTGGAATTCAATAGAATTTGGCTGCCTATCAGCTAAAGGAATGTTAATGTAAGAAAAATATAGGGTGAGTTTTGATTCTTTCCCTCCACCCAGATACTCTGGAGCTGAAGAAATATGCCGTTCATTTGCTGCTTCGGCGAGTCCACCAAAACAGAGGAAAGTACAGGGTTAAATGCAAGTGCTCCCTCACATTCAGGTGTTCACCTTAAATAAACTGATCAGATTGCTGACCTAGTTATTTATGCCAATTGCTGACCAAGAGGCTGCCAAGGAGTATCCTAGACTTAACCCATATTGATACGAACACACAGCCGTCCGCGGGGGGAGGAATCTCTCGCCCAGTAAAAAAATGTCTAGTACTTACAATTTAGTTATCTCTCTTGCAAGTGTAAATTAACTTGAAACTTGCTTGTAAGAACTGGCGCCACAAAACGGACCAGTAGAATTTGTCCTCTTAGATAAGAAAGAGGATACGGGCCCCCAGGTGTATAAAGATGGGTCCAGCAGCATATTTACTCTGAGTGTCAATCTACCATCTATCTGCTGGTCGGGTTAGGTGTTTGATCTCCCGAGGTTCCAAGGGGATGCCCACCTCATATTCGTCTTTCCTAGGAATTGAGAGGCCGGCCCTAGCCTGACACGCTGGAGTCGAGAGGCACAGAAAGGGGTAAAAATTGTACCTGGATGTGGTCCTTTGTCTTAAGTGTACACATAAATTTAGAGCTCTTTAAAGATTAAGCTGTCACTTGGTACCATTATTTCTATTTTCTATCTTTATTTTCTTTGTAACTATTTTTTTTAAATCTATATTTGCTAGCAGTTAAGAAATAGAGCAATAGCCATTGTAACCATATGCTTTTATAAGTCTTTTTAATAAACTTGTAATTGTTTAAGCTTTAACCTGACTCCTTCAGTTGCTGTAATAGAACCAAGCACAATTTTAAAAAACTTCAGCCGGTCATAAAGGGACAGGCATAGGAAGAGTTTGGGCGTTTGGATCTGTGTCACTCCCAGGTGACAGATCCGTTGGGGCACCTCTCAGTCTTTCCCAGGCTGCCCGCTGAGAAGAAATCTTGCATTCTAGCAGCTAAAATCTGAGGTGTAATAAACTCTTCCTATAAAGGGGCATCTGTTGGCCTGTTGGCTACCCTCTGCGACGGGACCCCGGTCCTAGCAGTAAAGACACAAACGTTAAACCTTTTCTCGGAAACACACACACACACACACACACACACACACACACACACACACACACACACACACTGCCCTGACCGTCGGCTGACAACCCCCCAGACTTCTCTCGAGTATCCATAAGCGTACCCGTACTACTGGTTGAGAAACACTGCTCTAGTAATTGGCATGAAGGACTGAGGGTCAAGTCTTTTGTCACTGGTTTTATATATCTCCATTTAAAAAGGTTGGTCCTAAGTCACTTCCAGGACCTCATGGTAAATCAGTAATGGAAAGAAAAAAATGAGGGCTGGTCAGGAATGTGTTTGTTTCAGAGAAACTTTAATTGAAAAGGTTTTTCAAGTCCACAATGTAATCTCCAGCTGGAAGGACAGATGGATGCATCCTCCCTCCTCACACACACACGCATACACTTCAATGGGACTATTCATGTGTTTAAAACTATATAGGATCAGATACCTAGAACAGAATTTGGCCTTCGGAATGAAAAGTGATTGGGCTGAATACTCAAAAGGAGTTAGGCTCTTAACTTCCATCTGGGAGTTACAAGCTGAAATAACTCCTTTTGGAGCATGCAGCTCTGGAGGATTTGCAACATATGGCAATGGTAAAATCATCAAACATCCACTACACATGAAAGAGAGAGAGGGTTGAACTATGGGATAGCACTGGAATAGGACTTGGGGTTCTTAAGTTCTACTCCTAGTTTTGCCACTGGTTTGTTGGGTGATCTAGGTAAGTCACATCATCTCGCTGTTCCTCAATTTCCTCATCTGAAGGTAGGGATAAGAGCACCAGTCTCCTCTGTGAAGTGCTTTGAGAGCGCCTCAAAAAAAATCTAGTCATTATAGTTGTTATTAAATCGAATTTTCATATAACTGAATATTTTCAAAATATTTTCCGTAAATAGAAATAGAAGACATTTTGTGACTGGTTTGTATGGTAAAGTTTTTGCCTTTTCATCAAATCATGTATTAGATGATATATTTTGCAGAAGTTCACCAACTTTATGTCTAGTCATAGACATAATCTGGCAAATAATAGCGACATTTATTGCTAATTCAGGGATTCTCAAACTGGGGATTGCAACCTATCAGGGGATTGCGAGGTTATTTCATGGGGGTTGTGAACTTTCATACTCCACTCCAGAACTCCACTTAATTTATAAGGGTGTTTTAATATAAAAAATGGTGGTTTTGATTTATAAAGAGGAGGTGGTACACTGAGAGGCCTTCTGTGTAAAGGGAATTGTTCACCAATGCACATGTTTGAGAACCACTGGCATAATTCTTTTGTTAAGTATTTTTGATTATTTGTCCAGTACTAATTGTAAACAGCTTTGAAAAAATTACTTGCAGAATAATACACATAATACTAAACTTAATTGAATTACTATGTCTTACAAGATTTTTGTTTGTTGTCTTGTTTTATAAAACAGTAAGTTATTTTTTGAAAGGACTCTGTATCATGTCATCCTAAAAGCTGCAGTAATACTTTGGCATGCTGCTAATCTTACAAAAGTCTCTGTAATTCCCATTACACAAAGGGGATTGCAATGAAATGGAATAAAAATCCAAGGAATAATGCAAGCCATATTTCATTATAAACTGGAGGAATAAACTCTTTAAAATAATGTTATATCATAGAATGCTTTCAAACAATTGATGGAGAATAAATTATGGAAATTTTTTTGAAATGTTGTGTGGGTCTTTATAAAAAGCCAAGATGGAAAGTTCATATTCATAGATTTTAAAACCAGAATGTCTCACCAGATTATCCAGCATGGTTAGATCTACACTACAGGTATGTCTACACTGCAGAATTTTGTTGGAAAAATGGCCATTTTTTTTGTCAAAACCTGAGTTACGTCCACACTGCAATCATGTTCTTTTGAAAGTAAATCAAAAGAACAGAGGGGTTTTCCGGTGTTGGTAATCCTCTTTCTACGAGGAAGAAGCATTTTTCCAAAAGAGCTCTTGTGTAAAAAGGCTTGCCCCACCGCGCCCCCCCTGCCACAGGCTTTGCCACCCATGGTGGAGCCACAAGCCTCCTTCAACCCACCTGACTCTTACAGGGAGCAGCCCCAGGGAAGAGGCCTCCAGGAAATAATAGAGGTACCGTGGTGGACACTCCATCCATACTAATCACAGCTCCTCACAGCTCTTAAAGCTGTAGGCATCCCGAACAAACCTTGTGGCAGGAAGCATGGTGGAGCCACAAGCCTCCTTCAACCCACCTGACTCTTACAGGGAGCAGCCCCAGGGGTCCCAAAACCCACCCAGGGGGACCAAGAACCAGGCACCCTCCTGGTCCGCAGCAGAGATCCTGTCCCTCCTCGAGCTGTGGGGCAAGGCAGAGACATTGCAGGATCTCCACTCCAAGTGCTGCAATGTGGACATCTTCGAGTCCCTGGCAGAGTGCAGATACCCACCCCAGACATTGGAACAGGTCCAGAGTAAGGTAAAGGAGTTCTGCCAGGTATACGTCAGGGCCAGAGAACGCAGCTTGTGCTCGGGGCAGGACCCTATACCTGCCCCTATTACCAGGAGCTGCACCAGATCCTGAGGGGTGGGGAAATGTCTTCCCCACCCGTTTTGGTGGACTCCAGCCTCGAGACCCCCGTCATCTCCCAGCCGGAGATCATGGAGGAGGAGGAAGACCAGGGGCAGGAGGAGGAGGAGACAGACACTGTCACCCTATCCCTGGAGCTGGTGCCTGTCAGCCAGGACATCTCCCAGGCCTCGTCTGACACTAGGGAGGGATTTTTAGGTGAGTGTTCTCAGTTTGCCACACACACAGGGTGGAGGAGGAGGGTGCACAGGGGGCAGGATGCGAGTGTCACTCAGGCTGCTCAGGCTGGACATCATGCTGGAGTCCATGCATGTAGAACCACGTGCAACATTAGTGTGCAGCACGCAGACTCAGCAGGCAGCCCCTGAGCACAGGTGGGATCCTGCTGATAGGCTCAGGGAAGTCCACGCACCTGTCCGGCCCCAGGGAGGGGCCTTCCCAGCACCTGCCACGGCTGGAAGCAGGCTAACCACAAGGGCACAGGCATGACCCCAGACACCCTGAGGAGGCATGCCTGCACATGCAAGGCACCACCCACTCCCGTGGGCAGCCCTGCGAGCCGCAGGTGTGTGTGCAGACCCCAGGGAGGGCCAGGCTGCTCCCAGCTCCTCTGCTGCCCATGGGATCCCATTGTGGCTGGACACTTCCCTTGCCTGTTTGTCCATGGGCTGGGGTGGGGGTGTGTGTGGAAGTGGGCAGCATGGTCCCCTGGGCACGTTGGGGTCCCTGGGAAGCATGGCCTGGTGTGCAGGCCACACATGGCCTTGCTCCTGGGACATTCCCCTCTTCTGACCCAAGGACTGTTGGTTTCTGCTCACAGAGGAGGGCATGGCCTCAGGTACAGTGTGTGCATGGATGACTGACCGCATCTTCCTCTTTGTATTCTCTGCAGCCAGACTAGTCGGGACTGAGAAGCGAGCCATGCCCCCGGTGCCAGCTGCCACAGCCTCGGGGGACCCAAAAGTGTAGCAGAGTCCAGGAAGACCTCATGCGCCAGCATGTCAATGTCCTGTGTGACATGCAGCAGACCCTGGCACAGAAGATCCATGAGGATGCTGAGTGGCGAAACCAGGCTTGGGACCAGCTGATGAAGTGGTGCGATAGCATGTGTGCCATCCTGAGAGAAAGGATGGCGCCTCCTGCCTATCACCCTCCTCTCCCCCCGCTATGTCTAGTCCCTCTCTCCCTATCCACATGCAATGCCTCTGTTCCTTCCCCATACCCCCTCCCCACATGATGCATATGCCCTCTCCCCCGACCGCCTGCCATTCCTGACCCCGCTCCAATTCCTCTCCACCCCCACCAATCCCCTTGTGGTCCCCAGACCCACTGAACCCCAACTCCAATGAGGTCGCACATCTAGTCACCCCACATGACAGTTCAAGCCCCCCCCTCCAGGTTATGAACCTCCCTCCCCCTGCCCACCTTTTTAAAATGTAAGATAAATACAGACTTCATTTTGTTGGAAAACAAACAGGTGTTTTTAATGAGAGATCATGGAAAGGATAAAGGGAGGGGTTGTGCTGCTGTGTAAACATGCCCCCCATATAATGAGGTAATCTGTGAGGGCATGGGTGACTTGTGGTAACACTCAGGAGGTGCACCGCTCCTCTGTTCCTCCAAGAAAATTTTAATGCTAAATGAGGTACCCCCTCATATCACTTCTCTGTTCCTCTGGGTGTCCCTCCTTATAGCCCCTGCCCCTGCAGGCACCAGTCGCCTATGTGTAAGGGCGAAAAAAAAGGAGGGGTCACCAATGAGTCCTTTCTCTCAGACCATCAGTAACTTTGCCTCTATAGGAAGACTGTCAAAACAGTTCAGTGGGAATTTCCCAGCCATGAAACAGGTGTCATAATTGCATAGTCACAGGAGTCAATAGGCAATGATCTCCAACACATCAAGTGACTTATCCAAACTAATCCAAACACAGAAATGAGCAAATGAAAATGTAAGTGTTGAGATCAGTGTATGAAAGCGAAAGCATCAAGAAGTGTGTTTTAGAGAAGAATTTGAAAGAAATGGATAACTGGTACATGGGAATTGTGGGGGAGAGTAGGGGATATTCTGAACCTATAGGGTAGAGTGAAAGAAAGAAAACACAAAGCAGAAAATGTGTGAAGGAGAATCAACTTAGAACTGAAATAAAGTTTGGCACAGACCTGACAGATCATCACATACACCCTCCTACTAGGCTAGAATATATAGTGTGATTGCTGGCCCACTGAAGTCAGTAGGGAGATGTGTTGTCAGGGAAATAAAAATGTGAATACTGTAATTATGCTGATATAAAATTGGCATGGTTCCTGGGCAAGCTTCAATTTACATCCTTTTAGTCCCTCCAGAGTGCTCTGGCTACCTTTACCCTTCCTTAGCTATAACCATGGAGTACTAACCACACTTAGGCTACGTCTATATTATACTCTAAAACAGAAATAAGATATGCAATTTGTGCTACTCAAATTGCGTATCTTATTTTGATTTTATTTCAAAATAGAATATTTTGAAATTTGGTGCATCTACATGGCACCAAATTTTGAAATAAAGCACTATTTCAAGACATTCCTTATTCCTTGTGGAATGAGGTTTACTGGGATGCCGAAATAGCATGTCTGTTATTTTGAAAATTATTTCAAAATAGCGGACGCATTCCTTAGACATTGGGTAGCTATTTCAGGATACCATTGGTATCCTGAAATAGCCTTGCAGTCTAGATGTACCCCTGGACTAGGTCTTTGAGCTCCAGCTCACCTGATTCCCAACCAGGATAGCAAAACAGGCTCAGCTCAATTTGGCACCCACAATCTCTCTCGGAGCCTGGGACCAGCTAGTTGATTCAAGTGACTCAGAAACAGCCTCTTCACAACAAAGCTGTATTTATCCTTTCATCCAACAGTATGAAGCATGCAGAGCAAATACATAACCAAAAAAGACCTATCTGCATATTTTCCCTTGCCTTCATCCTAATATTTCCTTGCAAGCTTTAGTAAGATTCATTCAGCCCAATTACCACCATCCTGGGATGAGGCCACAGTGTGTTTTCTGTGTCTCGTTCAGTTGGTATGACAGTCTCAGTCTGTGGGCAACCATTTCTCTCACTATTCCAGCCTAGGGTAGCATGGGTCAGGTGTTAGTAATTAGTACATGCCTTGATCCCAGGTTAAACCTTGGAAGAATAAATGTTGGCAGTCTACTGCCCCCCATGCAGCTGGAGGGGGTGGGGAAAAATAATTTCCCTCCGCCCCAGGTCAGATTGATAGTAGACTTTTTTTTTGCCTCCTCTGAGGTATAGGACACAGATCACTAAGGCCATGTCTACACTAAGAGATTATTTAAAATTTATTAAATTCAACTTCTGGGCACACTATTTTACAAATTCAGAGTTCCGTGTCCTCACTATGGGGAAGAATCAAATGTAGCCTGAGACACGCTCCATTAATGGGGACACACTACCTTGGACTAAGAGCCCCAAGAAACACTCTTGGGAGCTGCAGGAGGCCTCTCGGATGTCAATTCATTCACATTAGTGGCACCGAGGTATCCACACTAATGTTATTTCGGACTTAGTTTGGAATTAGCTTTATTCCTCAAGAAAAGCAGGAGTACAGAGTTCAAATTCTGTGATTCCTTACTCCTGAATAATGGGTTTGGTAGTGTGAACGCATCACTTACAAAATCAACCTTGGAGGGCTAATTTCAGACTAAGGTCCTAGTGTAGATCAGGCCTTACTTGGACCATCTACGTATCTATCAAGCCTATGTCTATATTATAAGAAAGGGTACGAATCCTCTGCTCATGAACACATACTTGCTAGCACAGAAGCATGGCTGAGCCATGCTGAATACAAAACCTTGAAACTGGTTGTCATGTATTTGACCCAGTTCACCTATGCTCCACTGCTGCTCATGCCACCATGGTTATGATATTACTTATATTCTCACTAGCTTACAGAAAGCTAGCACAAGTGTGTATACATGACCAGAAGAATCACAATCCTTAGCTTATAGGCTACGTCTACACTGCAGGCTTCTTTTGGAAGAAGTTTTTTTTTTGGAAGCGAGCTTCTGAAAAAACTTCTTCTGAAAGAGAGTATCCACACACAAAAGCGTATCAAAAAAGCAATCTGCTGTTTCGAAAGAAAGTGTCCAGACTAATTAGATGCTTTCTCACATAAAAGACCATCTGAAGCCCCTTCAGCCCACACGCAGCAGCATTATTTTGGAATAACTGACATTATTCCGCCATAACAAAGAGCACATATATACTGAAAGCCATTATTTCAAAATGATTGCGAGCTAGAGGACTTCTTATGCCGACTCCTGTAACCTTCATTTCATGAGGAGTAAGGGAAGTCAATGGAAGAGTGTTCTTCTTTTGGCTTCCTGCTGTGAAGGCAGCGCCAGAAGCCAAATTAAGCTATTTCGACTTCAGCTACACAATTGACGTAGCTGAAGTTGTATACCTTAATTCAACTTTTGCCTTGCGGTGTAGACATGCCCTAAATCACATGGTACAGGTGAACGAATAGGTAAGGTAGGCAGAGTACACCTGGAAAAGATCTTGTTCTGAGCCTAACCGCTGGAGACAGTGAGGTCTTTGAAAGCAGTTTCTGTGTGTATGTGTATGTGTGTGTGTGCACATGCACATGCGCTTTTTGGGGGGAAGGAGGTAGGGAGACAGAGGTTGTACATGGATGTACTTTTTCACAAGCTTTATTAAGTATAAACTTACTGCCAGTCTCAAAATGTTTTGAGATTGAAAGTGTAAATGATCACCATTTATAATGCACCATTGTAATAAGTGAAAATGTCACAGGAGATGTAGAGGGTTATAGAAAATGTGAGTTTTAACAGGTAGCATTTTGGGTATAAGCATGTATGCATATGCAGATCAGTTTGATTTTTCTTAAGTTTGAAGTATTAAGGAGACAGAATCTTGCTCTGACTTCTGGAAAAACGCCATCAAAAGTATATATAGTTCAGTTGGATACACACATTCTCTACTCAACTAAGCATTCAAAATGAATGTGCACTTTGATTTTAATAAATGAGTTTCTTTAATATAATCCATACCCTATATGCCATTTTATTATCTGAAGTAAAATTAAATAAAGCTACATACCTTAATGAATAATGAAGGCATTTGCTTGAAAGCAGCCAAAGAAAAGTTACCATTTTAAGAGTTTGGTAAATTGGAGTGCAAGTCATTGAAACAGAAAGCGGGGGCAGCTGTGGTCTGGCTTTGCGCCTCCCTACCCTCTTGTGAAAAAACTATCAGTCTCTCTTCATCAGCTTCCCTATCTGGAATTTTTTATAGGCTCCTGTCCAGGTCCCCTCTTTCTCTCACAGTAGAGGTCTCCAACTAAATGGTATATCAGGTGCTGACAACATAACCGTCAGTCATTACTCAATTGACAAAAGACAGCTATGGAGTATTTTAGGGCCTAATCCATAGCCCTGTGAATTCAGTGGGAGACTTTCCATTGACTTCAAGGGGCTATGCATTAGCCACTAAGGCCGTGTCTACACTATGCAGAAGATCGACACTGCTGTGATAGATCTTTCGGGATTAGATTTAGTGGGTCTAGTGGCACTGGTACTCCTGCTCCTCACAAGGAGTCCAGGAAGCTGATGGGAGTGTTTGTTCCCATCAATCTCTCACTGTATGGACAGCGATTTAAGGTATGTCAACTCCAGCTACATAATTAATGAGGTTGGAGTTGTTTATTTTAAGTCAACCTTCCTCTCTAATGTAGACCAGGCCCTACTGACTTATGCTGCTAAAACTCTATACATAAAGTTTAGAATAAATTCCATATGCTAACTTGGAAAAAGGAAAAAAATCTACTTGTATATGTGAATGCATGTATTTGTTTAAAAGTTACCCCAGGGATCTTCAGTATGTTTAGAATTTCTTATATCACAAAAGGTTTTGTTTACAAATAAAAAGATGCATAATTCAGCCAGTTTTTAATGAGTATTTGTTTCAAAACAGAAGAATAATAGCACATGTAATGACTCCACTTAAACCTGGGTTCCACAGAATTAAGGCACCTTGAAGAAATGTTTGTTCTTTCTTCTCAAATAATTCATTCCAACATTTGACATTAAAAATATTGCAAAAAGCATACAACTTAAACATTTTATGAGTACAAAACTAGAGTTATAAAAATGACATAATTTACAAACAAACCCACATTAATAACAAACATTAGCAAAGCATGTTTCGATATAAAAGCTTTCATACCAGCCCCAGATATTGTCATGCTTGTTTCCATGCAGAGGTAACGGTTTGCATGCATTTTATTTATCCCTTATGTTTTAACAATTCAAGGGCTCATACTTACTTAAAATATTATCCCATTATCTTAAATTTTGTGTTTGCTTTAGGATTCCTATCATAGGAATTATTTTTTATCAATAGATAAAAATGTAGCCAACATAATCCTACATCAAATTTTAGGAAACTCATTTGTGATATTTTTAGAACATCCTTTAACCATATTATCAGGAAATGTTTGAATATGTAATGCAGAACTAGATGCTATATTTACTACATGGTATACTTGCTAATTCAGAAAAGGTAATGTTGTTGGTGTCACAATGACATTAAAACCATGACAAAAGTTGAAATAAACATGCTTAGTATTACTGAACCAAAAGTGCTAGGTTTATAGAGCTCTCCCTAGATTACCCATCATCAAGTTACCTAAATTATATATTTCTAGAAAAGATCTAATTTCATTTATATTTCTAATTTATAAGAAAGAATAAAATTTACATTCTGAAGTGTTCCCTGCTCAGTTTGAGCCCAATACTGTAAACACTTATTATCAGGCACAGGGTAAAATCCTGGCTCCACTGAAGTTAATGGAAGTTTTTCTATTGACTTCCCTGAGGCCAACATTTCACCCAAAATAGTGCTTACTACCAAGAAAGGTCTAATTTACTTTAATAGAATACTCACACTAGCAAACACTATGCCCAGTAGTGAATGTTTACACAATCAGACTCGTTATGTAGGCTCATGGTTCAGTTTATAATTGTTTAGCAAATGACACATTCCTTCTGATTTTATTCAAAAAACAACTTATTTCCCTCTCAAAGATCAGGCCATTCATTTTTAGTTCTATGGATTGTATCACACTGGAAAGCTCTTAAGGACGAACTAGCCTTGTCCTCCTACGTGGTGATCCTAATGACAAAACATAATAAGAGAAAGTTATTTGCAAATATAATGGATAGTCAATAGGTCAGTAAATTATTAAAAAAAATATTAATCTGTCCTAAATCTTGCCTTGCTCCTGCAAATAGTTCAATGGAAGTCAACAGTTCTGGCTTTGAAACTTTATGGGTGTCTACTCATTTGATAAAAGGTTACACTAAAACTCCAGATCCAAATACCCCAGATTTTGAGAATACTTGGAATCTAGACACTCTCAATACCATCTCTAGTTTTAACGAGCTAAATCCTGAGGCCCTTACACAGTTATTATTTATTCCCTATGCCAGACAAATTCTCATTGACTTCCTTTTGACAGGGCTACAGGACAAATGCAATCCAACTATCTTCCAGTAATGCCCATCTGCTATTCCAGTGAAAGCTAAAATGATGTTACACAAAATCAGCTGAGGACATTATTTACAGATAATGGTTTTGTGTTTGCTGCCAATTCATGAGAAACAAAGTATCTAACTCAACTTTCAGATCTCACATTGAGTTTGAGTATTAGCAGTTAGGAAAGTAAAAAGTATCCTTTTACTTGTCAAGGCTGATATGGAATTTGTGAAACATAATAAAAATGGAACCCTGCAATGCCATTTTTACAAAGGCTGTATTCAGAGTGGAAGTACTGTTTAAAGCCTTTGTTTCAATAAATGAAATATGCAACCCAGTTTACACAGAGCACATAGTCTCCAGGAGCTGTTTTTCAGACATATTAGTGTTGTTAAAAATAACTTTACCAACCCTTGTAAAAGAACACAGTTAAAAAATGACTAACATGATTTTTATTAGAATGCATTTTATTCTCAGGAAAGGACTATTGTTTAAAAATATACTTAGAAAAAGAACTATATGAAAATATTTGCTTTCCTGTACCTGGTACTCTTTTGGGTGGTTGTCCTCTCCTCCCTGTTGCTTCTACAAAATAGAAATGTTGCTGTCAGGGATGATTTATAAATAAGTATTTGAATTAGAGCTCATTCAACAATGAACTTATTTGAAACCCATATCTTAAAAAAAGAAGTCAACACAGTTGAAATGCTGCAATAAGATTGGGATTATTGATGACCTGCAACAGAAAGGCTTGTACTAATAAAAAAAAATCTAATACAACATTTTCATTGTATTTGTTCTACAAATCACAACAAAAATTGTCCTTTAAAAACAGACATTGCCCTTAATGTAAGTTAGGATGGATTGTGTTGCTGACACAGACTTTCCCCCCGAGATGCTTGTTGGAAATTCCAAATAAACATGTTCAGTATAGTGAGTATTGTGATCTCACAGCACCATCATATATACAGTCCAGACTCCAAGAATTCCCTTCTTCTGAGGTGAGAGGCTTACTGGAATGATGAAAGCAATATGTAGGAGAGGCATCCTTGATTAACAGACATGTCTATGTTTTCCAAAATACCCATTTGATTTGAGACTCTACAAGCGTTTGCTAAATGTTGTGGCCTACATCTTTAGATTAGTACAATGAAAACATAAATATGAGAAAATTCCACAAGAAAATGGAATTTTCAGCCTCCCAACGATGTTGACTCTGAGATTACATGCATGGAATGTCTATTCATGTCAATAGGAACATGTAAGGGACACCAAAATATTAAACTCAAGATCCATTCAAGTGGAGAATTTTCCCCTTAGACTCCATGAGACTAAGAGCTGTATTTACTAACAGGTGCAGTTAATTAGCTTTGTACTTTGTTTACCTTAATACTTTGTTTTTCCAAATCCTTTCACAGTGAACAGTAGGCTGCATATGTTTCGCACAGCTACATGCAGCCTTCATTTCTATTTTCACTGGATTACAAGCAAAGTTAAGTTTTCAAGTTCTACGCAGAGGAAGAGCGAGTGTTGACTCATAGACTCATAGACTTATAGACTTTAAGGTCAGAAGGGACCATTATGATCATCTAGTCTGACCCCCTGCACAGTGCAGGCCACAAAATCTCACCCACCCCTCCTAGAATAATCCTCTCACCTATATCTCAGATATTGAAGCCTTCAAATACTTTGAAGACCCCAAGATGCAGAGAATCCTCCAGCTGTGATCTGTACCCCATGAAGGTTTTTCGCCTTCCTCTGTAGCATGGGGTACAGATCACAGCTGGAGGACTCTCTGCATCTTGGGGTCTTCAAAGTATTTGAAGGCTTCAATATCTGAGATATAGGTGAGAGGATTATTCTAGGAGGGGTGGGTGAGATTCTGTGGCCTGCACTGTGCAGGGGGTCAGACTAGATGATCATAATGGTCCCTTCTGACCTTAAAAGTCTATGAGTCTATGAGAATGCAGAAGGTCCTACCTTCCGTCCTTATGGGGTTGTGCTGCACAGTGGATAGCTATTCCAATGCTTCATAGAATCACAGAACACTAGAACTGGAAGGGCCCTCGCGAGGTCATTGAGTCCAGTCCCCTGCTCTCACAGCAGGACCCAGCACCGTCTAGACCGTCCCTGACAGGTGTCTGTCCAACCTGCTCTTACATATCCCCGGTGACAGAGATTCTACAGCCTCCCTGGGCAATTTATCCCAGTGTTTAACCACCCTGACAGGTAATGTCCAACCTAAACCTCCCTCGCTGCAATTTAAGCTCATTACTTCTGATCTTGGGAGCTAGGATGGGCAGTAAAGAACTGCTTAGGAAGTTTGGATCTACATTATTTATGTGTGAACTGCAAAGCACAATACCAATGGTACCAAGATCCTGTTATCTCATCAAACCATCCCCTTCATAAACCCATCTAGTTTAATCTTGAAACCAGATAGATCTTTTGCCCCCACTACTTCCCTTGGAAGGCCGTTCCAGAATTTCACTCCCTACATCAATTGAAATTTTGGAAGATGTGGGTAAAAAATGGCAGATTGAGATACATGGTCTTAAAAGCAAGTCTCACCATGCTAACCAGGTCTCCTTTAAGGGACATTTTCTCCCAGTTTAGGTTGCCCACAAAACTATTAGGCTCATAGGTACTGGGCATCTCACTCACTGATGGAATACCAGACGGCTCTGCATTCCCTGTTCTGCTTATCACTGAATTTTTACACACAGTGCTTCACATCTTCTTGGTGTTTGATCAAACCCAGTGTTTATTGTGCACTATTATGTGGTATATGCCCCATAAGTATCTATACAGCCTTATCACGAGTCCTGTGTACACAAATACCTAGCATCTCATTTTGAACAATTAAAATGTGACTATTTGTGTAAAAAACAAACAAACAAACACATCCTCTGGTATATTGTAAATTTATCCTCTGAATTTCTTTCACATTTGTAAAATCCATTAAGTTAACCTAAGCTGAAAACATAGTTGAAACAAACAAACAAATATTCTTGGCATTTCAGATGACATATGAGAAACTTCATTCACAGGATGCCATATTTGCTTCTATGTATGTGAACAGTTAAGAAATCTATAAACTTTAGCAACTGATTTTGAAGCATTTGAAATGCTAATTTAAAGAAGACACACAAAAATACCACAAGGAATCACTGCTTTGTTCTAATTCACAGTAGGTACTGTTAGATAAACAATTGCAAGTTAAACTAGAACTTCTAAATTCAGCCTATGCATAATCCAGGAACAAATGTGGTCCCTAAAAAGGACAATGCATAGTCCAGAGATCCTCAACCATTTTCATATGGGACTCCCACTTTCATAGGGGACTGCCACATCCCCTGGCTTGAAATGGTTTCCATCATATATAGGGTTTACAGTTTGGATCAATGGCTCTCAAAACCCCCAATATACAGATTGTTCCAGAATCCCTGACTGGAACCTCCTTCCCATTTAACAATATGAGAAGGGAAGAATGGTCACGGCCAACTGACACCTGTGTATGTCTTTCCCACTCCTTCACAGGGATTTTGACATCATAGTTGAGAACCCCTGGCATAATGGATCAACGACTGAAACTGGAAACAAAGTTATTGAGAACTTACATGTTCTTGAAGTGCTGCTTACAGAAAAGACAGCTGATTTATTATTCTTGCCTAGATTGGCAGATAGACAGTTGTCCCTGTCTACTACACATGACAATGAATTTATTTAGGATGAGTCTCAAAGTACACGTTGAAATGATTCTCTGCAAGGTTAGCTTGAGATCAACTGCTTTAAAAAAACTGATAAAACTTTTCCTGCTAAACTGTAGTTTCAGAACTAAACAACATATGTGTACAAATGCTATAAAACCCCACCTGGTATGATCACTGCAGATAAAGATGGTCTCAGTGCTATCGCATTATTAGACAAACTAACCTTCCAGATGGAATTCCTTGATTTCTCTCTCGATAATCTGTGGTTCTGCCTCAATTACTTTAGTAACCTTGGTGTACTCAGTTCCAGCTATGATAAGCATTAAAAACAAATGAGTTAAATCTGGGATAGCAATTCTATTTGTGAAGGGTGCCTGGGATGGAAACATTTCATTTTGAGGGAGTAGTGGTGAGCAGGATGCCAGGAAATAAGCCTCATATAATTTTGCCAATTTTCTCAATCCCAACACATGGGAATCACCTTCTTCAGGGTGAACTAGGGCTCTGTTTTAGCAAGGACTGCCACGTGCAACAAACTCTGTTGGACTATGTATAATTTTATGACAGTCCATTAGAGAGTGTGCTTGCTTTATACAAAGGCAAGACATACATTTTCTGACTGGACTCAGGTTTGTTCAAGTGTTTGGGGAATTCTCTGTTATAAAACAGAAATGCTCTGAGGCAATCAGAGAGGGGCAGGGAGCAATCACCACCATTATTAAAGCAGCCATAATGCCGCATATATAGCTGCTCTTCGTGGCTAGAAGTACTATGTTGTGGTATAAAAGACTAGATTAAAACATGGAAAAGTGTAGCAAAGACTGAGGGAAAACAGAAAATCCACTCATCTGATCCATTACATAAAACAAAAGGCTTTTACTAACCACCCTACAATAGCAAAGAGAAGAAAAGAATTCAAGAGACTAGGTTGTATTACCCAATTAAGTACTAATACTTAATAAATCAGAATAGTATAAATCTGTAAAGTCATATATCTTTCTAGATTAATTGCATGTAATTACACATCTTGATAATTTAGGTCAACAACTTGATACTGATGAAAAGATCCAAGGTGTCAGAACACTTTAATTTACAACAGGGGATCTTTGCAGCCCCTGCAGGGCTAAATCCTGTACTTTTGACTTCTGCAGGATTTGCAGACAATGGAATTTATTCCAGTGCTTTTACGTTTCTTTGCTATGACTTTTGTAATTTTCTAACTTCATTTTAAAATAGTTCTTATTGAATTTAATGCAGGTAAAAGGTATAGGACGGGTAGCCTTGGAGGTTTTTCTTCTAGAATATACTATATTAAACAGCAATGAAAACTTTCCCATGCTGCCTTAATCCTGAGTTAAAGAAGCCTATGTGTAAAGATAATGCGGCCCTTCAGACTCCATGACCAATCCCCCTTGCTTGTCTGCTGAAACTTATCAATTAAGTTAAGGTAGCCCAATGTGTATTAGCCATCATGGTTTTACTTATTGAAGGAGCTACAGCTATATCTTGCAGCCTTTACTAAATCCTAACTTCAGCAGATCTCCAAGGCCCAGATCTCCAAAGGTACTTGGGGTATCTATTTCCAGTGGGAAGCTGTAATGCCTAAATGCTTTCAAGGATCTGGGCCTAACTGAATTAGTCAGTAGGATTCATCCCAGGTTGTTTGTGACCCAGTTCACTTCCAAAACTTTCATTAGTTAAAAGATGACAAGAAGAAATGGATTCAGTTAATCTAAATCAGAGTCTTTACTGTATAGTTCAAGAAACAACCAAATATCCTTTTGAGTTTAGTAGTCAGGCTAATACTAAATTTCCCCAGTATACTTGAATTCTTTTTTACTTTCACCTTTGTTATTACAGGTAGTTGTTCTAATCTATACAATAAGCAGAAGACATTCCATAAAGAGTTTTCTACTTTTTTTCTACATCTATTGGTTATTTATTGCTAAAACTGTTAGAACTGAGAGACAGAGGAGGGAGAGAGAGAGAGATACTAATGGTAATGCTATACTTGAAAAGAATTACAGTTAATATTTTGACCCACATTACCTGTCAGTATTTAAACATGCCTTTGATTGTTAACTTGAGGGCAATGAATATTCATTTCTGGAGAACAGAAAAGTGTAATGAATTTGGCCTACTGTAACACTTTTCATTTCATTGGTGTTTCTCAAAGTTAACAATTTCTTGGAAATACGTTTGCAGCTAATGGAATAAATCTTCATTGCTCCCCTAGGTTTGAATTAGGTAACATTTTAAAGACTGAAAAACAAACAAGTTTCAATTTGTTCATGATCGGTGTGTATATGAAAACTGACTGTTCAAAATTTGCCATTTTATTACTTCTTTTTTTAGCAGATTTATATTTAAACTAGATCAGCTAGGTCAGTCTTTAAAATGTTAAGGGATCGCTTTGTCCGAGAGATGATTCAATCACCAGAACCTGTTATGCAGAGGTTAGTTGTCACACACTCACTAACCTCCCTGAAGGAGTCTTTTGATTTCTTCATCTTCAAGTAAATGACCATCACCTTCAATGAATTTGGTCACCTTGGTAACCTCTGAGAGGATACACGTTTATGGCATAAAGTTGATTTATATGACACATTCAGAATTCTAAATTACAGTACATTAATGAACATGCTGATTGACTACAAAATCCATTTAGAACAAAAAGTTCCATGCAAACATCTGGTTGTTATCATCATGACAGAAAAACAATACTTTAACCAGTTTCAGTATATTGCATACATATGCAGTTCCACTTAAAATGAATTGCTAATGAAGTACATATTGAGACAGATACCAATTATAGGTCATTTGTAGTATGCCTTTCACAGGTCCTTCTGGGACTTCTTTTCTTGTCTTGATGTGGAACTTGACATGTTGAAAAATAAAGGTCTCTACTGCATTTCAAGCACATGTTTATATACACCCAAACAAGCCCTCAACTACGAGGTTCAGATTTTAAGGAATACTACATCTTTATAATAGATCAAATCAAATCCTCAGATCTGAGTACTCCAAATTTTGGAGTGTTTAACCTCTAGCTCTGAACTTGTTGCTTGGATCCACCTTGTGTATATATTTTTATTAAAATTACAAAAAGCATAATTTTCAGTTATCTAATGCGTGGGTAGATCTCATGGAGCCTACATTTTTCTTTGGGAAGAAAAACACTAACCTTCTTCAAGCAATTTCTTCAATTTTTCCTCAGCATCTCCTCTACCACCTGCAGTAATTTGGGTATATGTGATTTCAGGACCTGAAATGAAGTTTAAAAGATGCAGGACTGAAACAAAGACTACACTATTGCATTTTAAAATATTTTATCCTATGAAACATAAAGCAGAAGTATCATATTCAAAATTATAAATAAAACTGACCAACAGAATGAAATATTGAGATCTAGAATAAGCCTCCTCCTACCTCCAAGTAAAATAAGTTCCTAAAGCCTAAGTTTCACTTTCAAAATGAGAATTAGAAGCCTAATTTACAAAAGTGCTTTTGAAATGTACCTGTTATGCCTATAATGTTTATGTTAATTAATTATTTAGTATGTATTAATTTATTTAAATACCAGTGATGTGTTACTGGCTAATCTTAAAATTTTAAAATTTAATTTAGGAGATATCATTCCTTCCTCCCAAAAATTTTGATGTAGTTAATACACTCATAAAATTTCCCTTTCCATAGCAACAATGTAAATTTTTAAATCCTTTTTTCTTCAGAAATCTTATCTTGAAAATGAGCTTATTTTCACTGAGATACCAATATATTTTTTCTTTTTAACTAAAAAAATCCCACTAGCCAAATCAACATAACAAAACAAAAAACCCAACTCAATTAACCAAACAAAACCCCCCACCTTGGTATAAATTAGTGAAATGTTTGAAAAAAAAGACTCCTTTTTGAGATGTAAAAACACGTATTTGAAATATTGCACACACATCTATGCACACCTGTGTACAATCCACTTGTCCTTCCATGGGAGTAGTGGGAATGGCTTAAGAATTCTGGGTTGCATTGACCTTGCTATAGAGTATATCAGAAGAGCCAAAATGGGACTTGAGAGGTGTATAGCACAGAACGGTAAACTTCAGGCAGTATGACTAGAAAAGTGCTTCACATAGTTTACCTTGAATAATTCTTTCTTCTGTCACTTCTTTTTCAGTCACCTCCACAGGCTGTCCATTAATTATTTTTCTGTATTTTTTAATAATAGGCTCTATAAAGATATTTTAAAAAGTAAAGTGATGAAGAATATATACTGAACATATAATAAGAGGAATGACCCAGGAGAGTTGGTGTCAGTGTTTGGATCTGGATTAGGACCTAGGCTTTCCTCGAGTCCAGGGATGGTCACAGCCAAAATTGTGTTAGAAATACTTCAAGGACCATGAAAGGAAATGCCAGTAAACATTTGGAAAGTGGAAGTGGATGAAAATTATCTTGAAATGATAGGAGTTCATGATTCTAAAAAATGTTAGGAGGGAAAAGAGCCACATAAAGATAATGGATTTCAAGAAAACAGACTTTAGCAAACTCAAGGAGATGGTAGATAAGATCCCATGGTGTCGAGTATCAGAGAGGTAGCCCGTGGGAAGCAAGTTAAAGAGGAAAACCAGTTTGAGAGAACTGGCAGTTTTTCAAAGACACTTTTAGAGAGGGCTTAAAAGTAAATTGTCCCACAGCATAGACAAGATGGGAAATATGGTAAGAGATCACCTTGGCTTAACCATGGGATCTTAAATGATCTGAAACTCAAAAAGGAAAAAAAAGTCCTACAGAAAGTAGAAACCAGCTCTAAGGGGAAATCGAAAAAACAATACAAACATGTAAGGACAAAAGATCAAGGCACACAATGGGGTTAAACTAACAGGAGACAAAGGATAACATGAAAATATTCTACAAATACATTAGAAGCAAGAGGAAGACCCAGGGACAGGATAAGTCTGTTATTCAATGATGAGGGTGGGAGAAGATAATAACAGAAATGTGGATATGGCAGAAATGCTAAATGACCTTTTCATTTCAGTTTTCACCAAAAAAATTAGTGGTAGTTAGTTTCTATCATAATGAACACCAGTGCAAATGAGGTGGGAGATGAGGCTAAAGTAAGGAAAGAACAAGATAAAAATTACTTAGACAAGCTAAGGTTGACAGTTTTTTAGGTTGTCAGGGCCTGATGAAATACATTCAAGGAACCTACTGAGGAAATACCTGGCATGAATAGTCCAATTATTACTTAGTTCTGCCTTAAGTGCAAGGGATTGCCCTAGATGAGCTACCGAGGTTCCTTCCAGTCCCACACTTTTAAGATCCACTTCTATGTCAACACATGTTCACTTTCTGTCACATGGTTATCCACTGTACTTTAGAAGACAGAAAAATAACTATCAAACAAGGTGGCAACTCAGCATATAAAGTTCTGGAAACATAATGTCAGATACAGTTTGTCTGGGAAGAGTTAGACAAAATCTGTAACAAGTGGGAATGAAAAACTACTATATTTTCTGAATGAAATAAAAACAAATCCGATGACTCATAAAAAATCACGTCTCTTGACTGAACCAAAATCTGACTTGGAACTGTAAAACTTGTGTTAGTATCCTAGCTAATAAAGTTTAACCACTGAAAATTTATTCACCTCCTTGAATCACTTTCGTTATTGTCTCGCCTTCCCCGTCGATCAATTCTGTGAATTCTGAAAAATATTATTGAAAAAAGTAAACCAACGTGTTACAAATATGCATGGCCCTTTGCAGTACATGGAAACAACATAATTCACTATTTAAAGCAGATAAAGTAGAAAAGGCATTAACACCATCCACACAAAAATCCCTTAACACATAATATTCCATTCTGATTATGTATTGTTATAATAAAATTTAAAGCAGGGCTACTCAACTTTGGAAGCCCCAGGGACCACAAGGATACCCACAGCACATGCCGAGGGCCGCAACTTAAGCATGGTTGCATGTATATGCAAATGCATGCAAATATTTATGCAAGTATATGCAAATAGCTTCTTTCACACTGATGGGCATGAATACAAAGATTAAGGCAAGACTACACAACATGAAGGCCCCATTTAAGTTAGTTCTACTGATAGTAATAAAATGCAATACTTTCCCAATTTCCACCCATATGACTGCACTTTTAATGAGCAATGCCAGTCCAGGAATTTAACTACTAAAACACATATCAACAGAAGACCATTATATTGACTACTTTTTTGTTTTGGCTTCACAGTTTTAACAAATCAAACAAAAACTGCCAATACAATATTTACTGAAATACAAATGCAATCAATGTGAAGTTAAAGGCAACGAGGGGAGAAGTGGCATGGCTAGAAAAGGAACCCAGGAATCCTGCTTCCCAGAATCCTTTCCTTTCCCCTGCCTACCCCACTAAGCACCAGCTCCCACGGTCCTCACAGAACTGAGACTAGAACCCCCAAATTTAACTAACAAACCCACTGCCCACCTAAAGGAAAGGAAAGAAGCCAGAAGTTTTAACACCCAGTTCCCTGCTCTAACCCAAAGCCCCTTCCCTCCCCCAGAACCAGGCAGCCCTCTAGCCCCCGTGCTCTAACCTAATGCCCCACCCCTCCCTCAGAGTCAGGCAACCTCAGCACGCCTGCTCTAACCCAATGCCCTTTCCCCCCCACTGACCCGGGGACATAAATCTAGTGAGGCGGAGGATAATGCCCTGGGTCTCACCAGAGCCAGGTGCTTTTCCCTCCAGGCACTAGGGCCTATGTGCAGAGTGGCTGTGAATAGTCTGGGCGCGTGGCTTTGAACGTTCCATTGAAGGTACGTGCCACTGCCCCCTCCCTGATCCCCTTTGCAGTGCAAAAAATCCGGGTCATTTTTTGCCTTTTAAAAAACCCGTCCGGATGGCAATTTAACACGTGAAAACAAGGACATGACCAGGAAAAACTGGATGTATGGGCACCCTACCCAAGCCCCAGCTCAGAACTTTCTCATTCCGGCCTTGCTGCCTGGCTGCAGCTCCTGCGCATGCAGCAAAGCTCTTGGTTCAGTGCAGCGCTGTGTGGTTCCGCTTGCAGGGAGGTGCTGCTGCCATGGCTGCTGTGGCAGGTGTGCTCTGCCGCCACCTCTTGCTGCCCTCCCACTGGCCAGCAGCTCCTGCACATGTAGCCTGGTTCAATGCGGTACCACGCGGCGCGGCTCACAGGGAGATGCTGCTGCTAGAGCCCACAGTGACACGGCAGGCAGGTGGCCCTGGGAGTGGCTCAAGGCACCGCAGGCCACATACAAATTGGCCGCAGGCTGCATGTGGCTCACGGGCCTCTTGTTGAGTAGCCCTGTTTTAAAGATTTGTCCTGTCAATGGCAAAATCATTTCACCACTGTTTGCTTCCCTGGATTTAAGCTGGGATATATCTCCTGTATAGCACTGTCCCCTCTCCTTGGAACTCTTCACATGCTCCTCCACCAAAGCCCTGCATGAAATGAGCTGCTGGGGAGGGTTTTGGGGTTTTTTTTTGGTGGTGAGAGTTGGGCTGGAGCAAAGGAGGACTCCTGGCTCTCTTCGTGGCACTGTCACATGATAACCACTCAGGCACTCAGTTCTGTTTCAATTCATCTTACCTTCTTGTAGGATCTCTCTGCAGCTGCCATTGCACAGCTAATCATAGCATACCTCAAGTACAGACATACTGGAGGCCAGCGGAACAGTATACAGCGACTGGTGTGTTGATGTCTATTGTCTCAGGGGCTGAGGTGCCTGCGGAGCCTCACCCCTATCTATTTTAAACCCATTTTATACTGACTACAATAACTACACACAATTTAAGATAGTGAAGAACCACGACTCAAAGTCAGAGCTTGAGTGGCTGACTGAGATTCATCTCTATTTGCAATGCATGACTTAGTTTAAAATACAACGTAAGTGCAGTTTCTCTATAGAGTATCATGGTGTTCCCAGGGGAGAGAGATGTTTTTGAACCTCACCTCAGTGTCATCCTTAATCATATTAGCTCATACTTATTGTACAATTTATCTCTTTGTAAGAGACAGGTCCCCCCCCCCCTTTTTTTGTAAAGTTGACCTTCCACAGAAGTTAATTCCACAAGAAGAATTTTTAAAATTATAATTATTATGCAGGTTTCACCCAACATTGTGTTTTCACACAGGTTTGCTTATTGTCAAGTGGTTAATACAATAAAGTCCAGATTTGCTGTAATCTCCTATATGTTTTCAATAGGAGGTGATGCACAGGGTCTTAGATTAGTTTTTAGCTTGTTAGCTAAATAACTAGTTATAAGCTTCTCAATCTAGGGCACACTGATGCATCACAAAACATATAGCTCTGTTAATAAATCCTACCTTTTCGAATTGTTGCACCACCACCTACTTTCATGGTTTTTCTACCTGCTTTTTTTGACAAACATACATAAATATTTTAGTGACCACATCAATAAAAAGGTGTGCTCAGTAGTTGCTGCTATAAATGCAGCGGCACTGTGGCATTTTAATTGAGGACATACTAAACAAATACATAATAATACAGTCTAATATAATTTAATCACACAACTGAGATACAATTATTCTTAAAATTATGTGGTGACTTTTAAACCCCACTACTTTTAATCTTTAATCAGCTTTGGTTTATATCAGACTAGTGCAATTGAAATATGCGGTACATAGCAGGTTGGTTAAAGCATTCCTTTTCTCTTTAGTTCAGAATGGGCAGCCCACTCGCACCCCTGAAGTGACTTTGGAAAAGTATTTATTTTTACATAAATCTTCCTCTTGCACAATCATCAGTCTATGCCTTCCTGCCATAGTTAGAAAAATTAACATTTTGGCTACTTTGGGAGATTTTTTTAAAGGCAGCTGCAGGCATTTTGTTTTTTGGAGAATGCTTCAGCTGCTGGTGGCAAGCCAGGAGAACCGAAACTGGCTTTACCAGAAGTGTGCCTGAATCATTAATGGTGAGATGGGCTGAGTCAGAATCCTGGCAAACAAAAAGCAAGCATTGGGGGGTGGCCAGAAGTAGAACTATGGCTTTGCCAGCCAATTCATCCATCCAACTGGCTGGATGAATTGACTAGTCAATATTATTTCATCTTGCTTTAGTGAATAGTTTTGACCTGTGCATCAGACGGCACCAACTCACACGTTTTCACATTGTCATTAACCATGGAACAAGCAAGATCATGACTTTCATGTTGGGAAGAAGCCCTCTCAACAACTACAACAAATAATAACTTCAAAAACATTTATTTAATCCCTTCTTTGCTGAGTTTAACTTGAGCAAATTCCCTTTGAAACATTCCAGTGGAACATAGGGGCATCTGGCATTGGCTACTGTTGAAAGACAAGATACTGGGCTAGATGAACTTGTGGTCATTCTTATGTTCTTCTAAGTGATGTGCTAGGTGCCTAAGGAAGCAGCTGAGCTGGGTTCTGCCTTAGGTACCAACTTCACATGCCAGCATTTAAATGACTGAAGATATTTTATTCTTGTGTAGAATTTATACAGAAGGAATGAAACTTTCAAGAGTGCTCAATGTTGTCTTTATTCTACTTCCATTGAACTGAATGGGAGAGCTACCTTGGAATTTATTGGCAGTAGAAGAATGTCAACACTAAATACGTTTGAAAATCCCACCCAGGATTTCTATCCAACTTCTTACGGTCCAACCATGACTTCCATGGCCTACAGCACAGGAAAGAAGACTATTCCTGAGAAATAGGGATAGAAGAGTCCTCCTAAATGTCCTCCTAAATGTCTGTGCCAAATTGCTGGGACCCACATTATTATTAGAACTAGTTGGAAAATAGAAATCTATTTCTATGAAGAATGCTGTTGTTTTCACTTTGAACTGTTTGGAATAAGTCCATTTTTGTTCGGTGTCCCATTTTTTAAAATGTTAAACAAAACACTACTAAAAACTTCATTTGATTTTTTTTCATTTACTGAAAACCCAATAAGGTTTTGGTATGTAAAACAACCTAAAATCATCAGGAAAAAAGGCACAATTTGAGCTTTTCTTTAAATTAAAATGCCAGCCATTTCCCATGACAAAAATTGCTTTAGAAAACAGGCCTTTTAAGAATGATCTTTTTGTTCAGAAAAGTTTAGGCACCTCTAGCAGTTATTTCTGCTTTTCAAGCAACATGCGGAAACCTGGACTTGTTCTGTTCCAAAATTTATCCAATTATATTAATATATTTAAAGTTGAAAAGGAGTCAGTTTTACCCTCTTTTCTGATGGTGGGCTGGACGTTGCCTTCAATCACTTTAATAGTGGCTGAAAGTACAGAGAGTGGAACATGACGCACAGTTACATAAAAGCATTCAAACAAAGTTGTTCCTTTCTTATCATCTCTTTATAATATGGCTCATTGGCTACGTCTAGACTCCAGAGTTAACGTGAAAAAAGATACGCAATTTGCGTACTGCAAATTGCATATCTTTTTTCAATGTTCTTTCAAAAGAGACTTTTCCAAAATTTGGCGCAGCTACATAGCGCCAAATTTTGGAAAAACCAGCTCTTTCAACATATCCCTTATGCCTCGTAGAATGAGGTTTACAGGGATAGTGAAAGAGCGTGTCTGCTTTTTCAAAAAAAAAATTTGGAAAAGCGGACATGTTTCTTGGAAATGGCATAGCTTTTCTGGGATACCTCCAGTATTGCGGAAAAGCGCTGCAGTCTAGACATAGCCTTTTAGACCTGGGGTGGCTATAAGGAATCAAGTACAATCAGTGTAAAGTACTGTATGCAAAAAAGGGTCTTTTTTAGAGCTCCAGAGTAAGAACCTACTCATTTGTCATGATTAAGCCATGACATTTTACACAATATACACAGAAGGAAACTATTCAACCAAAAAATCAACTAAATATATTAATAGGGTTATTATTTATATAGCACCAATCGTGTTCTTGGCTAGAGGATTATAGTGTTCGACTACACCAGTATGTTATTTACCTTTGTTTGTATCTCCTGAAAATGTCAGCTCCATGGCAACAGAAGATACACTAAGGACAGTACAATTATCCTACAATTTTCTAACATTTTTTTTATTTGATTTTTTTTTCCAGGAGACAGCAAAGGTGGCAGGGAGAGAAAAAACAAACAGCATTGACTCATACAGTTCTGAGAACTGAATCTGAACTTTGGCCTATCTGTTCCAAAATCTCTAAAGCCCAGTGCAATGTTCTTCATTTTAGAGTCTTAGGCTCCAGTTCTGCAAAGGTGTAGATGTGTGCCAAAGTCTGATGTGCACAAGCTTTTGTGGCCTCAGTGCTTCAGGCTATGGCTGCATTAGTAGTGCAGCTGCTTAGGTCAATGTAAATTCTGTCATTCAGTGGGCTGGCTTTTTCACGTATTCATAAGTTATTCTGACATAAGTGTCCTTAGACTACAATACTGAGGTAACTCCAAGCCTAATTCTGATTCAAAAACTCAATTTAATCCCTAATGGAGTGTGCAAGGGAGTTGGAGAGTATGAACACTCCCCTTTATTACTCCCTGCCCCACAGGGGCCAGCCATCCTGATGGCTTCCTTCTAGCAGCTCCAAGAGCACAAGCCAACCCTGGGTAAATAGAAGAGGTAGGAGCAAGGGATTATCAAGTAGAACTTGTGTAAAAGTTATACTGTCTCCTGCTGCTTCTTGGTGACAATGTGGCTCTGTACTGCCCCCAACACAGGGCTATAATTCAAGTTAACAGAGAATACTTTTTCTCAGCATCCCAGCCTGAGGAATTTAAACTGCTTCCTTCAGCAATGCTTCCCCATCACAGATGTGAAATATGAAAATACCACATTGAGAAGCATGCTAAATGCAAACCTATGTCTTTGAATCCCCCTTGCCCCCATACAATATTAGAATGGCTGAATTGCATGGAGACGGTTTTCTTTTTAAATTGAAAAATTCCTTTCAGGCTGCACTGGCAACAGTTTTAAAAAGCAATATCACCAAATGTATCTGGAAATATTCCAAATGAACTTACTGAAAAATGTCAGGGGAATCTCTTTGAAGGTGCTCCCACGAACATACTATAATAAAGAACAAATCCAGCACACACATAAATAATTTTATAATAAAAACTCACTTTTTAATGCATTAAACATGACATGTACCAGATCCAAAGCCCACTGACAGCATGGCCAACATCCACATTGAATTTCCTTAGGCACTGGATCAGGCCCATGCCATGGTAGTATTGGAAACATAAGGGTGTGCAAATCTCTAGTCGCTGGCTGTACTGTCCACAACAGCAGTAATTGCTACACTCTGGAAAAATTACATAGCTTAATACACCCGTTGCCCATTTCTTGCATGCCTGTATGAAAGGCCAAACCTCTGAGCTCCCTTCTAGAGGTACCTCAACCATGTGTCCTGATTCATGCTGGTGTGTGAGGTAGCCTAGGCAATGGCAGCTTCTTTGCCACTCAAGATTTCTCCCAGTGAGGCAGAGGCAGATGAAGATTTATTAGGGCTCTGGGAACAAAGAACAACTGTGGCCCACACGTACAGGGACCATGGATGCCAGAACTGGGGGGGATGTGGGCCATGCCCCCTCTTTTAAAAATTGGAGACATGCCTGCCTACTTTGTAATGTGGGCATAGTGGCCTTGGGCAGGCACAGAGTAGTGGTGGTATGGGCGCTGTTTATGAGTGGGGGAGCAGGAATTGCCAACCCCAAACTGCAAGCCTGGGGCCAGAGGCAACAGGAGCAGAAGTGCCACACATGGATGCTCCTCAGACACAAAGCCCAGGCAGTAGGAAGGGCAGTCTGTAACCAGGAGCTGGAGGGGCCCGTCTGGGGCAGCCTGGCAGCAGAGCAATGGGAGCTTCACCACAGGACCCTCCCTGTCAGGCTCCTACTGACTTGTGATCTTTCTGGGGCTCCCTACCACCTGCCAACCAGGGCAGGACCTCCTCTTCCTGCAGAACATGTCTGCAGGCCTGGGGGGCAGAGAAGGGCAGCAGGTGACCAGACTGGAGCGCCCATCCCTGGGTCTCATGAGCAGTATCATGTCACAGGGTTGGGAACATGGCTGGGGGTGATCTCCCACATCCTTGTCCCAGCTCAACACAGGGAGAGAGTTCAGGACTCCCCAGAGCAGCACAGCTCCCTGAGAGATTCTTACCACATTCTGGCTCTGATTTCTGACTTGGCTAGGGGGTAGGGCTTTGGGCAAAAGAGGAGGAGCAGGAAGCAGGGCCCCAGGGGGAAGAGAAAGCACAGGGGGGTAGGGCCACACTTCCAGCACCAACACCCTTCCCACACTTCTACCCAGATTCCTGAAGGGCCCCCAACTTGGCAAGAGCCTCTAGGTCCCATGAGCCCCATGCATTAATCCATCACTGCAGAGAGGGGAATCCTCGAAGGTTTACATCTTATTTATGTTGCTGAAGAAATTAAACAGACTCATAGCAGGAATCTGAATCTAGTCCAGAGTGTATCCGTGACTTCAGTGTATTCAAATGTACTGTATCCAAAGAAACTTGGCAGGATATTTGCTTAATCTGGTATTTACGAGTTTCATTTGACAGTGAAAATAATGACTCATGTGATGACTCTGTGGAAACTGAATCCTCGTTCTTGGACAAACAGGGTTCTCTCAGATAAATTAAAGTGTTGTTCATTGAAGAAATACTGTGAAGGGAACACTTCTATTTCCATATATGTGGCTAAAAGTATAAATAATCAAATCTTTATTTAAAATGTACCTTAATCTGAACGTATTTAATCAGCTTATTCAGGATGTTGAGTAACTGATCACTTCCAACTGGTACATCTGGAAAAAGAAAAGCAAATCTTTTGGAAAAACGGAAACAGTTTAAAGACTCCACTGTTCTGAACTGAAGGGGCTTCTTGATTTGAGTGTCAACCTAAATGATACAATCTGAAGTCCCCTAATATTTTTCAACAAATAAAAATGTTATTTCGATTTAAATAATGGTAAAAGGAGTTTGCTAGTAGTAAGTCTAGTAACACTTTGAAGAAACAATATTAGTATATATCTGACATCAGTAATTCTAACTACTTCCTTTTCCCATTGTTCTTAGTGATCAGAAGGGATTATGATTGTCATGGAAATGGAATCCAAATCTCTTTCCTGTGGGGTACATAGCCTGTATCATCTTACATCTTATCGTAAGGCTGAGCAATGCTTAATTTGTGCCAGGGGTAAGGACAGACTTTGCTGGGTTAATGGGGAGCTAGCTCTGGGCCCCTAGAAGAGGCTGGCCTTCTGGAAGAAGGGGTGGGGCTGGATTCTAGCCCTTCAGCATTGCTGGGTATGCACCTCCAGGGCTCCAAGGGCCATGGGGTCCAGGTGTTGCCAAGGCAACAGCAGCAACTGGAAGCTCCAGGCCCTTTTAAATTGCCAGGCCCCAAGGAAGCTGCCCCTTTTGCCACCATGTCAGTGACTCTGGCCCCAGCACTTCTAGGCTTGGCAGTTCATAGCTCTGGCACTTCTGGGCTTGCTGTATCAGTTATGGATGTAATAAACTCCTTTGAGCCCTAGCACCTATATTCCCTCTAATCTTTTTGACCACTTACAGGACAACATTTTTGATGTGCACCAAAGCATGTGCACCTGTTCACCACCAATAGAAACAAAAAACCTAGCTGGCCAATTTTGAATCTCTCCTGATTGGCTGCACAAGTGCATAGTTTACAAGGAATACTGCCTGGCACCTAACTGCTTAAGCCAGGACACCTCTTTCATTACAAACTAAGCACAGAGGTGTTTCTCACAGTTAAGAAAGCTATCAGAGTACCAGGTAAGAGTAATCCAAGAACAGATTCTTATTTGCTTTTCAGTATTGTGTGACTTTAAAAGTAGTGTGTTTTTTAAGACAGAAAACATACAGAACACTGCTAACTCTTTACATATGTTTAGATATGTCTGAGAAGAGGTAGATTGAGGTTTGGTATATATTCCCTGCAATAAGCCAATACTCACCAACTGGGTACAAGAGTTTATCTATAACATGAATTACACCATTGGTTGCCATGAGATCAGATTCTTTTGATTTCAGTTCATTCACCAGAAGTGTGTCATTTACCTAGCAAACAATGAGAAGAGAACTCTAGACACCAAACAAGATACTTTAAAAAAAAAACCTTAGCCTCAGTATGGCAGTTTGTTACTGTTCAGATACACGTCATTCTGCAATATGCACTATTTAATATATGGACCTGATATGCCAATTTCCTATGAGAGGGAGCATCATACATTTTTCTTACCACTTACCATTTTCAAGAACAGCTTGCTTCCTTGTACTGTTTTAAGAATGTTTGTCACACCAGGTTCAACACCATTTCCAATGTTAACTCCTTTTGTCAGGTGATAAAGAAGAATGGTTTTGAGAGCATTTTTGTCCCCTATAAAAATAACCATTAAAGGATAGTGCTTAGTTCATTTGCAGCATAACAAGGACTCATTGATGGATGCTTGAACAAGATCATTGCTTAGATAGTCACATGGCATATTCAAAAGCACACATCGTCCTTTCCCTAGGAAGAGGATGAGACACAGAATGAACCGTATGTGACAAGTGATAGTCACATTGCTTAATGAAAAGTCACTAAAAAATACAGTGATGAGCATGGAATTAGAACCTATAGAGAAGAACAGACATTGGTCAGCCATTACCTAACTTTGCTTCTACTCATTTGTTTCTAAAAATCCCAGCTAGGAATTCTGCAGTCCATAAATACTTATTTGACCTCCTCCTACTTAAATCCCATAAAACACCATCTACCAGACAACAATGTAATGGTCTGGCAGGCCCAATCTGGCTAGAATGAGATCATGCTGAAGAGTCTGCAGTACATTAAACCAATTCAGAAAGCTAAGCCATTTAAAAAATCCAATGGGATCCATGCTTCATATGAATTCTCTGAGTGAAAATAATGGGACAAGAGTGGAGAAGTAGCTGTTGGGTGAAAAGTTAAGTAGTGAACTAGAGAGAGGACTTACAATACAATACAATGGGCTTAGATGCTTGTATGCAGCATTGTTGTAACTATGCTGATGGCAGGATATTAGGGAGACAAGGTAAGTGAGGCAGTGGGGTTGAGGCAAGGTGTGTGTGTGTGGGGGGGCTGGCTCCACCCCCCCAGAAGGGGTGGAGCTTTGGGTAGAGGGGGGTGGGGCCAAGGGCATTCAGCCCTTAGTGTTGTCTGAAGTGCTGTGCTGGGCCTTTCCCCCGGCAGTCAGAGCCCCGTGGAGTGGCACCCCCATGGCATTTCAAAGAGGCCCGAAGCGTCCGGCCACTGCCTTTGCTACTGCAACAGCAATGTCTGGGAGCCCCAGGGTTCTCTTATCAGCGTTGTTAATCCACCTCCCCGAGAGGCAGTAGCTGGTGTTACCTACCAGCCCTGTGCTCTTGAGGAGCCAGGGACAGACACTCGTGGAAAACCACTTTCCCCAGGCCTCTGCTAGAATCAAAGACAAAGCAAGGAAAAGGCCAGGGAAGACACACCTAAACTAATTAAGGAAACACCCCAGCCTCATTTGAATTGAAGATAGAACAGAGGGACATCTCATTAGCATACAGAATGGGGACCAGCTCTTCCAAAGCAGGAACCGCATTGAACTATGGGATACCGAAAGCAGAGAAGCACTGCCTGATGGGAAATCTCTGCTCCAGATGCTAATGAACCCAGGCCTGCTCACACCCAAATTAGTCATCATCAGACCAATTCTAGTAATGGATCCTATTGACATCCAAAATACTGAAATTGCCTAGTTGCATTGTGAGCTCCTTCAAGGAACATCACCCATAACCAGGTGTGATCAGTCTCTATTGTCTCGCCTCTGTTTACCCATAAACAAATCCAGTGTTCCCTTCCAACTATTGTCCTGTCCCTATAAAAACTCCTACCCTTGGCCAAGAAAAACTGTTCTGATGCCTGGGTTTAAACTGCATCAGTTCCATTGGGACTTCATCATCTCCTGTCTGATCATGCTGGGGGCTCTGCTCCTTTTGTCTCCTGCCCTCTGGACCCCCAGCTCCCATCACCATCTGGGAATCCTGATAAGTGCAAGCTCCACAGAGTGGTGATTTCTCTTCTCTCTCTCTCTCTTTCTCTATCTCTTCCTCCCCCACCCCACAAGCATAGCTTCCTGACTCTGCCCTATGTAAACTATTCTGTGGTTACCTAGCCCTAACATTTGTAATCAGTTACAATTTAGATTTAATATTGTAACTGTTTTATGTGTTTGGCTCCCTATATTCGCTATTCAGAAATAAATAACTTTCATTGTTAAGCTGGTTGCTTCTCTCTCTTTTTCTTTCTCTTCTGCTCACTCTTCCTCAAGGGGAGTTGTTTTGGCTTCCCCATTCACTCTGCAACAACGCTTCTTGTACCCAAGCTAAAGATCCCTGGAGTGCCCAAAATCCTATGGGGTTTGCTCATCATGTGGTTTACCAGTGAATGATTGTGGTGTGAGAGTGGGGATAATTTCATTTTTCTTTTTTATCTTTAAAGCAGATGTTATTTGAGCCAAATGGGTATCCTGAAATTGGAAACCCATCTCAAGTTAAGTGTATATGGCAGAAAATAAAATAAAGATAGGTAAAATGTAAGATAGATATCAAGTGGGAATTGATGAGCAAACAGCCAAAACAAATTGATAAAAGGAAACTTTTTTTATCCAATTCATCTGAGGAACTCACTGCCATTAAATAGCAGTGAGGTCAAAAGTTTGTAAGATTTTTAAAAGGATAAAGGCTTATTGATAATAAAAACATCTAAAAAACCATAGGTAGGCTAAAAACAGATCAAAATGACTCATGTTTCAGTCATAAGCCAGCCACAAACTGATGGGAGTGAAGAAGAAACATTCCCTATCCAGACATAACGGTCCACTGTAGTTTCTTGTGGACATGTGTTAGCACACTCATACTGCATTCTATGACACATCTCGTATTGGCCATTTTTGTAGCTATAATACTGGACTAGACTAGAGGGTCCCATTGGCTGATTTGGCAATGCTTACATTCCAAGAAAATCATATGACAAATATTAATACAGTACAGTTAGGTACTTAAAACTCAGTTAGGTACTTAAAACATATAAAAATTAAACTGGGAACCACAAATCAGCTCCTTATGTGTGTGTATATTACAGTACTCTTGGTTCCACCCATTCCATTTTGTGAAAAAAACCTGTATGGTATCATATTATTTGAGAAACAGTATGTGACACCATGCAATTAACACTGAATTGTTTGCTTGTACAAAGGGAAGAGCTAAAGGGCTGTGGTCCAATGCCTCCTCCCTCCCCCAGAGCCAGGCACCCACCAGGGACTCCCAAACTAATGCTTCTCCCTCCCCCAGAGCCAGGAACTCCCAGTCCCCCCAACCTAATGCATGGGTCCCAGAGCTGCCATCGCCACCACACACTTCTTTCTCAAGTGCTGGGGCGGCATGAGTTGAATAGCCAGCTGTGCTCAAGCGCTTGATGCCTATGCAAAGCGGCCCGGCCAGGCTTCAGCACATACTGAGAGCTGTGCACAGAGCGGGTCGGCCGGCTGGGAGCAGTTGCTGTGGCACAGAGCGGCCAGCCGGCCATGATCTGCATTCAACCACGTGCTCTAAGCGGCCAGCGGGCAGCACTTTATTATTTAATAAAATGTAGTGCCGGGCCGCAAAAAACTTTGATTGGGCCACATGCAGCCCTCCAGACACCTGTTTGACATGCCTGACCTAGGGTCTTTGCTGAATTTCAGTATGTAAAGTGAGTGGCCTTGACCAAAGAAGGAACAAAGTGATCACACCATTATGCCCTGCCACAACCCATCTGAGGGCAGGCATGTTTGAAGTGAACAGGGTATGTGTATCTCTTGCCTGTCTCAAAGGAAAGTGTTCGGGTTTATAAAGCTACTTTATATGCTGTGAGAGCCTTGTTTGAAAGTCATTATATACATGCAAAATATTATAGTATAAGTAAACTAGCAACACTGTAGGAGGAATTAAGAAGAATCCAGTGAAGATGTGCTTTTCCAACAGCAGAGTGCTGTCAGAGATGGCTATGCTGGAGGCAGGCCAAAAGAAAGGAACAAAATTGAGGGTTGCTAATTTGTAAACTCTGATCCACTTGGAACACAGAGCTCCTTGCAGGGACAAGCCTTTAGGTTGAGATTAAGAGTATGAATCATCTAGGTTTCAGGCACATTAAACTTTTAGGGTGAAATTCTGATGCACTAAAGTCATTGGGATTTTTTACCATAGACTTCAGTGGGATTGTTAAATACATTTCTAATATTCTTGTGCTACTTACTTTTCAGTGTTTCCCTTTCTTCATCAGACAAACCTTTAAAGGCATCATTAGTTGGGACAAACAAAGTCCATTCTCCAGGTTCTGACAGAATAGCATCTAAATCAGCATCTTTCACCAGACTAAAGAAAATGCTAATCAGAAAAAAAAAGCGCACATTAAGTTATGGTCTGGTTCCCAAAGATGTGTTTATAGAGGGCATTCTGAAAAAACATCAACACACAGAAGTCTGTTTAATTAAGGCTAGTTCCTATCACTCCTAAGCATTTATGTAGTATCTTACTCTACAACTATTCCCATTGATTTCAAGGATGAGGGAAGTGAAAAGTCATTCAATATGTCAAGAGCAATAGGTAGATTGAAAAGGAAGGAGTAGAGGAAGAAGAGGCCGTTGATGATCAATTTGAGTGGAAAAGCAGAAATAAGATTGCACAGAATCCAGTGGGGAATCATAGACTCATAGAACATTAGAACTGGAAGGGACACTGAGAGATCGTCAAGTCTAGTCCCCTGCCCTTGTGGCAGGACCAAGCACCATCTAGTTTATCCCTGATAGATGTCTGTCTAATCTGCTCTTAAATACCTCCAGCGATGGAGATTCCACAACCTCCCTAGGCAACGTATTCTAGTGTTTAACCACCCTGACAGTTAGGAAATTTTTCCTCATGTCCAACCTAAACCTCCCTTGCTGCAAATTAAGTCCATTGCTTCTTATCCTATCACCAGAAGTCAAGAAGAACAATTTTTCTCCCTCCTCCTTGTGACACCTTTTTACATACTTGAAAGCAGCTTGAAAGTAGAGGAGAGGAAGGCAAGACAGCAAGAACAGACTGTATATTCATGGGGCAGGAGATAAAATGGAATAGGGAGATAATAGTAAGGTAAGTGAGGTCAAGGGAGTAATAAAATAGGATACTAGAGTACGCACTCAGGCTACCTTGTTTACAGGCAAGCTGTGTACAAGGATGAGGATTTTAGCAAATTTAAAGCTCTAAGTGGTTGCCACATTTATTCACAAGTAGTAGTCCTATTGCAAACACTCTAGACCAGTGGTCTCCAACCTTTTTACACCCAAGTTCACTTTCTAAATGTCAGGACAAGCCAAGATGTACCCCATCTCTTCCCCAAGGCCCCACCCCTTCCTTGAGGCCCCGCCTTCTCTATTCCCCTTCTCTCCATCGCTTCCTACCCCTTGCCTTTATACACTCTCAGGGTACGGCCACACTGCCGCTTTTTTTCGAGCCTTCTGTTGGAAAAGATTTTTCTGACATTTGGCTCATCTAGACTGGGCCAAATGTTGGAAAAAACTCTTCTTTTACAAGCCCCCTTATTCCTCATGGAACAAGGAATACAGGGGCTGCCAAAAGAGCATGTTTGCCTGAAAAACTCCTTAAGTCTAGCCTCACTGGTTTGAGACAGGAGGTGCATGCTCTGGAATGGGAATGAGGGATTTGGGTGTGGGAAAGGGTGAGAGGTGCAAGCTCTGGGAGGGAATTTGGATGCAGGAGTATGTGGAGAAGGGGATGCTGGTACAGGGAGGGGGCTGCAGGCGGGAGAGTGTTGGGCTCAGATGGAGCGTTGGGGTGCTGAGCAAGCCACAGGCTTGTGGATGTGAGGATGCAGGAGTTTGGGTTGGAGTGTGTGAGGGGTTCAGGGCAGGGAGGTTGGGAGTATGATGGGCTCAGGACACAGATTTGCAGTGTGTGAATGGTGCAAGAGTGTTGTGGCAGAAGACTGAGGATGTGGGGGTGCAGGAGTTTGAGGATGTAAGAGGCTCAGGACAGGGGATTCTAGAGTATGATAGGCTCAGATTTTGGGTCGGTGTGGGGGGTACAGGAGTATTATGATGCTGTGGCCAGATGAGAACTTGGCCCCAACTGGGAGCTTGTTGGCCAGGCTTCATTTTTAAATAAAATATTATGTCAAACACAAAACATTTCAGCATTGTCTTTATTTATGAGAGGGGTGGGGAACCTGTTTTGAGTCAGGAGTCACTGACCCACAGAAAAGTCAGTTGGGGCCACACAAGTGAGATACAAAAACACAACCCCTCCAAAACCCTCAACACTCACTAATGTGGTCTGAATTGTGCTGGTGGGGGCAGGGGACAGGGTGCTGTGACAGGGGACAGGATACTGGGGCAGGGGACAGGATGCCAGTGGTTGCTGAGACAGAGGAGAGGGCGCTGGTGGGTGCTGAGGCAGGGTGCTGAGCACTAGAGGGTGCTGGTGGGTGCTGAGGTAGGGAACAAGGTGCTGGGGCTGGGTGCCAATAGGTGCCAGGGCAGCAGACAGGGTGCCAGTGGCTGCTGCGAGAGGGAACAGGGTACTTGTGGGGGTCTGGGTGGGGGGAGGGGATCGGGAACTGGTACCTGGGGATCCTGCAGCTCTGTGCCAAGGCAATGGAAGAATTCTTTCATTGACCTAACTACAACTTCTTACAGAGGTGTGTTGAATGCAGTAACAGAAGAACCCATCACTGTAATATGTTTAGTATGCGCTGTGCCTCTGTAGCATTCCTTGTGTAGACATACCCATAGATAGAGAGAAATTTCTATGTGGTGAAAACCTTTTGCTTACCTAAAGCGCTTATCATTCTTTAATAATTCACGCAGTGACTTTTCAGCTGGTTTGATGATCTGTCTGAAAATGTGAATAACACCATTTCTTCCCTCTTTGCTTCCTCTCACCATGCATGAATTTTCAACACATACAGCCTGATTAGGGAGGGAAAAAACAAAATAAACCAGCCAAGGTTAGAGCAAATAGCATCCAGGCCACAAACAAGGCTATGTTAGTGAAGCATATTTTTTTTTGGAATCAGCCTGAAATTTGAATTCCTCTGTAACATCTATAATTTTAAAAATAGAATTTATCCAGATGCCCATTGGAAAGTTATTTATTTTTCCTTTCTAAATAAAAAAATGCAAAAGGAAGCAAATTTTCTGGTAAATAAATATGTAAATAGTTTAAAACTTGATCACTGGTGGCACTTGAAAAAAAGTTAGCTCTTCTGAAACTAGAAGTTTATATTATTAATCTCAAGCCAAATCCTAATGCCTTCTTCTAGTTTTCCAGTTATTCATCTATTTCAGTCAACTTTTAATTTAATTTAATTTAATTTAATTATACTTCAGAATCAAAGATCTTTCTCACATGTACAGTGGTGTGGTAAATGTTGATAATTTTGACTTGCAATGTTGAGCAGTCTTAGAACACTAATATTATTGTCTTCTCCAGCAAGATCCAGCCTTCTCCAGCTTCAGGGGTTGGATAGATGTTATTTGTCACTGCCCCCAGGATTTGGAAATCGTCATTCACTTACTGTGCGATATACAAAGATTCTGAGAACTTTTCCTCCCAAGGTCTCCACTTTTTGTCCATTGTAGAGCTCACCAAGGCCAATTTTCGTTTTCAAAATGTGGTTTTGCAAGATGATTTTAAGGCGGCGTTGGTCCATCCTCAAAATGTCATCTACCAAATCATGTTGACAATAACATAAATTATTCCCTCATTCAGGTAAGATTCACTGCACACACTATGATTTACTTTTTCGTTTTTGCAACATTTATATTTTAGATCAATCATTTTAGACTTATAAAACTGAGGAAACTATTCACAGAAATTAAATTGGCTAACTTCTTTTTAGGATTATAAATTATCTGTAAACAGACTTCTAGTTCTTTAATAGACGTTTGGCAGATGATTTACATGTAGGCATGTTTTAACCTCTAGATTACTTGTGAAATGAAGTAGATTTCACAAGTAATCTAGATTATTTGTTGCAACTATTGCACTGAGTAATTACCATTTGTAATCCACCCTGTGTTGTGATATGTAAGGCACATGATGCTGTTTCTTATCTTTGAATGTATGACTGGCTGAAAAGTTTGTTTTAGAAAACCATGATGGCAGAAAATGTGTCTGTAATATATTGACACTATGTAAGAAATCGGAACTATTCAACTCCCAGGAACCTACCAGAGAAAGCACCATTCAGAGGAATCAGCAGAGTGTACCTTCCCTCTGGCCTTAGAGAAGAAGCCAATCCTAGCTGTGCCATAAGGTCCGTGAAGGTGGTCTGCTGTTCACCTGCAAGCTCAATAACTTGCTTGGCTGCAATTCGACAGGGAAAAGATAATTAATTTTAGTCCGTTAATTAGTTTTCTTGCTTCAGCAATCTCCCTTCCTATAAATTACAATTTAATACAGGAGGTTTTAGAGGGCCTGGATAAGGAACAGAAGAGGTAAGCACACAGATTCACTCATAAATAGGCTTGTATAGATTTATTATGTGGAAAATGTTTTATAGTTAACATTCCTTATCTTTATGATAAATACACAAAACTATGTCAGGCACTCACCAGAGTTAGGAATCAGCACACTGTCAATGAGGTGGATAACACCATTGGTTGTCACAATGTCTTTGCGTTTTACCATCTTGACTCCATTTATGGTTAGGCTTTCACCATCACAACCTACTTCAACTGTATTCCCTTCCAAAGTCTCGTAGACTGCTCCACCCATGATGGCTTCAGAGCATTGGAGACTGTTCAAAATATGGAACTTCACGAGAGCTAAGGAGAAAAGAGGAGACAGGTCCATGTATAGCCACCTGATTTTAACAGGATTACTTAAGACAACTGAATGCATTGAGTGAATATTGTTACAAAATAAAGGTAAATAACTACCTTTATTTCTCATTATTCCCATTCCAATTTTGACAAACACAAAATATACTACTCTTTTAATGGCTATACAGATAATTGTTTCTAGTAACTGTGAAAAGGATTGTTTGAACAAGAACTCATAGTGTATACTGCCATGGCACATTGTGATTAAGACTTCTATTTTTAAATGATTTCCATGATAATGTTACATGCACTTTAGTCTGTTAACTAGACCTGTATAAACCAGAGGATCTAGTTTAATGGCCATAGGTAATATTAGGTTGCCCGTAAAACTCAACATACTACTTTCTTTATTGGGTGTTCAGAACCAACCCTCAACTTTTATGACTATTGTTCATTGTTTGTTTCTAATAGATCCCATGGGGTGTTTTTTTTTCTTAAATTGGAGAAAAGGCACCTCCAAGAAATATCCTCCTGCTAGTGAGAGGATTTTCTAGATAGTGGCCTTACTCCTTCAGATATATGAATGTCAGTCACTAAACATCTGCAACTAGTCTGTGGAAAGGCTAGTTGTAGACACGGATGTTTACTCTTCCCTGTAAAATGAAGGGAGTGTGAAATGTGGTTACTTGCTGGTAGCGGGGAGACTTGTGAAGCTGAGGACAACGTGGGTGGTCTGAACATTATGAAGAAATTTAAAGAAAGTGTTGCAGGACTGTCTGCTGGTTTGAATTCTTTACTTTTCGCAGATACAGAAAACACTGTATGTCCTATTCTGTTCAGGTAAGCCTGCTGCCGTCAGTGTGCAGTGAAGGACGGAATTCAGCCCATAAGTATTTAGCCCCAGCAGAGGTTTCTCTTCTTCTTTTGTTGTCAAATGTGCAAGAAGTGGGGCTAATTTTTAAGTCATGTTTTACTTTTTTATAATGCATGAAGAAGTTCTATGGGACTGCATGAAGTTCTCCTTTTTTGTTAATTTTTTTATATTACAACTATCAGTGCAGAGTCTCTCCCCTCCAGTATTTGCCACTTTATGCCACTCAGATAATGCAAATCACCTGATCTGGCCTAAATCAGAATTCATTATTTAATGTGACACAGAGTGTTCCCAATCCAATGCCCCACTCTCTTCAGAGTGCATACATTCTGTTGGGGTTATAACTGGAGCTGTGCCATTTTTCAACTGACATATAGCCCCCTAGGGACCACAGCTAATTAGCACAAAATAGAGCGATTCTTAGGCTACTCTAGACTGTGTGAGGTTCAGTACCTGAATACGTTTGTTCATGTCCACTCCATGTGCATTGGCAATCATAAAAGCTAACAAAATATTGAGAATCAATAATAAAGGGATAATTCAGAAAATGTCATAATGTGTTCATGGTAAATCCATGCTACCCCCACATCTTCAATACTGTATGCAGATGTGGTTACCTCATCCCAGAAAAGATATTCTGGAACTGAAAAGGTTCAGAAAAGGATAACAAAAATAATTAGGGGGAAGGAACACCTTCCATAGAAGGAGACATAAATAAGGCTGGAACTTTTCAATTTGGAAAAGAGATGTGATGGAGGTCTATAAAACCATGTCTGGGATGGAAAAAATAAATAAGGAAGTATTATTTACTCCTCAGGACGTAAGAACTGGGGTCATCAAATGAAATTAATAAACAGCAGGCTTAAAACAAGCCAAAGGAAGTATGCACAGCCAACCTGTGGAACTCTTTGTCAAAGGGTGTTGTAAAGTCCAAGACTATAAGGCTGTGTCTAAACTGGCAAGTTTTTCTGCAAAATCAGCTGCCTTTGCGGAAAAACTTGCCAGCTGTCTACACTGGCCGCTTGAATTTCCGCAAGAACACTGACTTCCTACTGTCTGAAATCAGGGCTTCTTGCGGAAATACTATGCTGCTCCCATTTGGGCAAAAGTCCTTTTGCGCAAAGCTTTTACGCAAAAGGGCCAGTGTAGACAGCTCAGATTTGTTTTGCACAAAAAAGCCCCGATCTCGAAAATGGTGATCGGGGCTTTTTTGCGGAAAAGTGCGTCTAGATTGGCATGGACACTTTTCCGCAAAACGTGCTTTTGCGGAAAAACGTCCGTGCCAATCTAGACGCTCTTTTCTGCAAATGCCTTTAACGGAAAAGTTTTCCGTTAAAAGCATTTGCGGAAAATCGTGCCAGTCTAGACATAGCCACTTGGGTGTCTCTAGACTATACCTCTCTGTTCACAGAGAGATGTACATTAGGCACGTCGAAATTGCTAATGAAGCAGGGATTTAAATATCCCATGCTTTATTAGCATAAACATGGCCACCACTTTTTTTGACACAGTGCTTTTTCGAAAAAAAAACAAACAAACCCGGCAGTCTAGACACGGATCTGTCAAAAATAAACCCTTTTGACAGATGCTGTAACCCTCATTTTTTGAGGAATACAGGATCTGTCGAAAAAGGGTGTATTTTTGACAGATCTACTTCTAGACTGCCATTTTTTTTGAAAAAGCTCCATGTCGAAAAAAGCAGCGGCCATGTTTATGCTAATGAAGCACGGGGTATTTAAATCCCTGCTTCATTAGCAATTTCGACATGCTTGATTTGCATCCCCCGGTTGACAGAGGGATGCAGTCTAGATGTAGCTTAAGAGGGTTCAAAACACAACTAGATACAGTAAAACTCCAGTGGTCCAGCATCCAATGGTCTGGCACTCCTGATGGTCTGGCACCATCTGGAACCTGGAAGTGCTGGACAATTGGAGCTGATCTGCCCCCGGCTTCTCCGATTCAGCCGCTGCTGAAACTGACCAGTGGCTGACTCCCGGAACCCAGCCCCGGTTGACAGAGGGATGCAGTCTAGATGTAGCTTAAGAGGGTTCAAAACACAACTAGATACAGTAAAACTCCAGTGGTCCAGCATCCAATGGTCTGGCACTCCTGATGGTCTGGCACCATCTGGAACCTGGAAGTGCTGGACAATTGGAGCTGATCTGCCCCCGGCTTCTCCGATTCAGCCGCTGCTGAAACTGACCAGTGGCTGACTCCCGGAACCCAGGGGCAGAGCAGCTGGAGTGCTCTGCCCCGAGCTTCCCGGAGTCAGCCGCTGGTCAGTTTCAGCAGCGGCTGACTTGGGGAAGTCTGGGGCAGAGCAGCTGGGGTGCTGCCAGGTTGGTCCCGCAGAGCCGAGGGGCGGATCCTCCCCACTCCACCCCAGACCCGTCATAGCCCCACCACTTTCCAATAGTCCAGCATATTTGATAATCTGGCACCCCCTGGGTCCTAAAGGTGCTGGATTATTGGAAGTTTACTGTATATTAATGAAGGAAAAGTCCATCAATGGCTGTTAGCTAGGATGGACATGAACTGTGGGTCTAGCTTCTGTTTGGTAGAAGTTGGGAACAGGCAGGAGGAGATGAATAAATTGATGAGTACCTGTTCTGTTCATTCCCTCTAGGGCATCTGGCATTGGCCACTGTTGGAAAACAGGATCCGGGACTAGATGGACCTTTGGTCTGACCCAGTATGACCATTTTTATACTCTTATGTTCAGAGAATTAGGTGACTGTTGCAGTCCGTAGACTGCCTACCCTATCCTCATCAGGTTCAGTTTTCTTTCTTTTTGCTGAAGGACTTCTTGGAGGATTGGATAACTAAATTAACTTACTACTTTAATATCTAATATCTGACAAACTATTGGGAGAAAAACTGTGGTTTTGTAAGATTCTTTCCCTCCCGCACTTCCCATCTTCATTAAATTGTTAGGCAACATCTCAGACTCCTATTCTTCCAAGGAATGCTCCAGCAAAAAAGAAATCAAAACTTGATATATCTAAATTCCCCTCCCTCCTTTTTTTTTCTTTAAGTTTTGGAAGAAAACTTTGGAACTGGTTTTGCTCATTGTAAAGGGGCATTCAAAGGCATGAAAAGTACCCTGTGCTGTTCACCTTTAAAACAACTTAAATATGTAGCATAGTTCATGCAGAAATTGCAGTCTCAGTGTTTATGACATAGTTTCCATAGATGGCTTTCAGACATCCTGCTTATAATGCTTATTCTGACTCCCTTGCTTTTTTAAAATTTAAAGCACAACAGAAATTCTTGACTCCTACAGTATGTAGCAATTGCCCTTTCTTAATGAGAAAGACATATGTTAGCTGTAACTTACAACTATAATTATTCTAATGGGATTTCCTTTTCCTTTCTCTGGAAAATAAATTGTATGAGGTATTTAACCAATGTTGATTGCTTTTAGATGCATAGCCTTGCATTGACATCTTGGTTGTCAAAGTACTCTTATCCCCAAGTAATGGACCACTGCTGTTATATGCGTTAGAATATGCTGTAATAGCTATTCAGTCTACTTAAGTACTGGTATTCACTCGTTGTCAACATTTTTTAAAGGATTACAATTCGATTGCCTTGAAATCATATTTGCATGGACAAACTAAAGATAGTATTCTTTCTCAACCTTCACTTAAACTCCACTGATGGGACAAGAAAATTGGCATCTACTCCATTACTAAAAATGCAATGGACAGTCATCATTAAATGTTTCTTATTAATTAATAAATGGTGGGTCAGAGTCTCCACTGGTGTAAGTCAGGGGAACGATGCCAATTTACACCACCAGTGGTTCTGGCTCAAAAGGGGCCTACAGATATAGCTTCCATAAATTTCAATAACAATTTTGTCTGTGTGAAAATGGGAGTTTACAGTTTAAAGCATACAGGGGCAGAAATTTTAAAAGCATCTCTGTGCCATGGCTAGGCCTCCATCAAAGTTGGGAAGTGTACTTCTAGAGTTACTTCAGCACATTGGAACATTGTACTCATAAACAACGTGTTTGATCCATTTTAAATGGGAAAACTGTACATTTGTGTGGGGTTTTCTGTGATTATCATTTTTAACAGATATGCACAGAATTTCACAGAATAAATTGTCTGTATTTTTAATAGTAGAATCCAGTAGGCTGAATTATGGTTGAAGTCCCATTGCACGTGGTAAAGATATTAGATATCTCACCCTTGAAGAGAGTCCATGATAGACTTTGGCCTATAGAATATATACACTCTTACTATGAAGGAGCTATAACTGAAATGGCATTTGAATCAAAAGCCCAGATCGAGATGTCCCAGAATATAAAACTGAGGTCTATTTCTATTAAATAAATATAAGGAGTTAAATTTTCCTGCTCACTCTTTTGGGATAATTGTATGGTTTTAGAATCTCTGTGTTTCTAGCTCCTGATTTGATTATATTTGAAATATATTTGCCTTTTTCCCCTATATATAAAATCACTGACATACCTTCAGAGGCCACCTTATCGCCCATGATCCTTTCCAAGACTCCCCGTGGAAGTTTTTCAAAAGCTTCATTAGTGGGAGCAAAGAGTGTGTAATGGCCTGGCTTTCCAAGTGTGTCCAGTACATCAGATGTAATGGCAGCAGCCTAGAAAAGAAATGTATGGCTTACTGAGAGAACTGTTCAGATACATTGACCTTCAGGGTGCAGAAAAACAAAACCCTTAATTTTGAAATCCCAGAGGGTCAAATACTGCACTTGAATGCTCACAACCATCTCTCATTGAAAACGGGATGTTGTTGCATATGAATCTGTAGGCAGACTTTGGTACAAGTTTAATGTGCAATCATATATTATGATTTAGCACTTTGGGGTTTGTATAGAGCTACTTTAATGGTATGTTGTAATGAAATATAATATTCAGAAAAAAGCCTGTTTATATAAGCAAAATTACAGAACCAAAATGTAGAAAAATAAATGCCTGCAGGGAAACATCTTGGATCAATCGTTGGAGTTTCTTTGATAATTGGCAGATACTACAAGCTAAATTCTAATATAATTTATAATGATTCAAATGTAGTATAACTCTATCAACTTCAGATGAAATAGATTGGATTTACCCCAGTACAAACCATATCAGAATGTAGTCCATTAAATGCATTCATTACCTAAAAACACTCAACACTAAATTTAAACAACGGCGATTCAGTGAAATTCTATACACAAACCTTTAGGTTAAATAAATACAAAGAATCCTGACATTTTTCATTTTATTGAAAAACATATCCACATAGGATTTGCTATAGTAGATAAAACCAATGGTTTAGCTAATTCTCTTTTTTACCTTTGGAATAGTATCTAAGGGTATGTCTACACTGCCACCCTAGTTCGAACTAACTGCCTGCGTCTACACACGGCAAGGACCAGGTAGTTCAAATTAAAGCCCTAGTTCGAACTACCTGTTATTCCTCCTGGGGAATAACTGCCTGAGGAGATATCTGAGCTATTAGTGATCATTTAGACATTCCAAAAGACTGGGTATGAACAAATAGGCTGTGTCTAGACTACATGCCTCTGTCGTCAGAGGCATGTAGATTAGACACATAGGAAAAGGTAAATGAAGCCGCTATTTAAATGATCGCAGCTTCATTTACATTTACATGGCTGCCGCGCTGAGCCGACAAACAGCTGATTAGCTGTTTGTCCACTCAGCGCGCTAGTCTGGACGCTCCCCTGCCGACATCAAAGCCCTTTGTCGGCAGCCCCGTTATTCCTCGTGGCTCCTGAGGAATCTCTACCACAAACCAGCTGTTTGTCGGCTCAGCGCGGCAGCCATGTAAATGTAAATGAAGTCGCGATCATTTAAATCACGGCTTCATTCACCTTTGCCAAAACAACAAATCTACATGGCTCCGTCAACGGAGCCATGTAGTTTAGACGTACCCATACAGTGCCCATCTATAAAAAGGGAAATAAGAACAACCCAGAGATTTGTTAGATTAAGTTCTGCACTTGGAAAATAATGTATCAAATATTTAAGCAATCGATTTGCAAACTTCTAAAAAATAATAAGGTAGTAAGTAACAGCATGGATTTGTCAAGAACAAATCATATCAAACCAACCTGGTAGCTTTCTTTGACAGGGCAACAAGCCTTGTGAATAGGGGAGAAGTGATAGATGTGGCATAGCTTGACTTTAGTAAGGCTATCTCACGTGACCTTCCAATAACCAAACTAGGAAAATGCAACCTAGATGGAGCTACTTTGAGGTGGGTGCATAACTGGTTGGAACGCTATTTGAAGTATTTATCAGTGGTTCACAGTCATGCTGGAAGGGCATAAAAAGTAAGGCTCTTTGGGGATCAATTCTGGGTCTGGTTGTATTTGATGTCTTTATCAATGATTTAGATAATGACATAGAGAGTACAAAATGTGAAGATGATAGCAACCTGGGAGGGGTTGCAAGTGCTTTGGAGGATAGGATTAAAATGGAAAATGATCTGGACAAACTGGAGAAATGATTTAAATAGGATGAAATTCTTTATGGACAAATGCGAAGTACTCCACTTAGGGCTGCACATGTACAAAATGGGAAATGACAGCACAGGAAGGAGTATTGTGGAAAGGGATTTCGGGGTTTTAGTGGACCACAATCTAAACATGAATCTACTGTGTAACTCTGTTGCAAAACATCATTGTGGGATGCATTAGTAGAAGAGAGTGGTAAGTAAGACATGAAGAGTCATTCTTTTGCTCTATTCCATAGTGATTAGGTCTCAACTGGAGTACAATGTTCAGCTCTGGGTGCCACATTTCAGGAAAGACATGGACAAATTGTGTGTGTGCCAGAGGAAAGAAAAGATGAGGAGAATCAGAGGAAATGAAATGAGGGAGAGTCCTTCAGTTCTACAGGAAAGCAAAGCAGAGGCTTGGAAAGTTTCCAAAGCTGCCTGATGACTCACCCCAAGAAGGGCAAGAAAAAATTCTTCCTAGCTCTCTGATCCACTTTCTGAAATCAGCTAGATCAGTTAAGCTTCTGTGAGTATATCTCTCTGCTATTTCCATTACTTTCAATTATTTTCCCCATGTTGGAGCCAATTCTGGGCCAGATTCTGCAATCTGAACTCACATTGAGTGCCACCCCCCCAATCTTTGAACAGCCCCAGACTCAAGGAGTAAGGATTACTCACTGTGAATAAGGGTGCTGGAATTTGTCTACTGATGCTAATTACATGACTGTCACAAAGCAGAATTAGGCACTTATGTAAATATATATATAGCTCTTCTACCTTGTATCATTTGTTGGATTAGTCCTTCATTTAGTTAATTGTAGTCCCTTAACAATGTGTTAATAATCTTTTCTTATATCCCAGAAAACAGAAAAAGAAAGGACAATGATAAGGCCAAAAAAGCTTGTTAGCATTTTATTTTCCCCCACTCACTCTAAAAGACGAAACATCATCCTCAGCTTCAAGGAAGTCTTGAATGGTGGTTCCAGCAGGGGTCAGAACACGATCAATGACATGGACGACACCGTTTGTAGCAATCTGGTTGCCATGGATGATTCTGGCACAGTTAACAGTAACAACCTATGTTTAAAAATTGCACAGTAGAATATTAAACTATCATCCTGTCTCAGATTTAAGGAGAACATCCACCTAGCCATTAGAGCCAACTTTGTGGGTGATCTGGGACTCAAGCACTTACTGAAAATATTAGGGAGTGTGCAGCACCTGCAGGGACAGATTACTCTTTTGTGGACCCCAGTGTCAGGATCCAGTTTGACCTCCTCCCCTGAAAACCCCACCTACTGCTCCTCTCCAAGGCTCTGCCCCTGCTTGACCCCTTTTGCCCCTATTACACCTTAAGGCCCCATCCCTGCTTAGCCTCTTCCCATGAGCCTCTGGCCATCCTTTGCCCTGGAACCCACCCCTAATTGGCCTCTTCCCACCACTTGCACGGGAAAGAGGGGGTGGAGAGGAGCATCAATCAATACAAACAAAAGTCATGCTCTGTGTACCTAGCAATCTTTCACCAATAGATCAATTTATGCAGCTCATCTTAATTTCCAACCATATTACAATTGTGTAGTGTTCCTTATTCCTGAATGGTTTAAATGGTTCTTGTTTGTGGCTTACATTGATTTAAGTGCCAACCTAACATGCAGTTTCCGTGAATGTAAGAGAATCAGTACTAATGGCTTCATTTGAGAATGCAGATTCATTCCACAGATATCCCATGCAGGAAAATATTATAAGAATTTCTTCTATGACTAAATGTTTCTGTCACATGTTGCATTAGAAATAAAAAAAATCTATCTAACATTAATTTAGTAATATATAAAAAGTATGTAATAAATCTAACTTCCGATATTTAGAATGATAGTATCTGTCCTCTCCTCTTTAGAGGAAAGTTAATATGGTGTTTTTACTATTTTCTTAAAATAAATAATAGTTACCTAATACTTTCTTAGCAATTAGGCTTCAGAGTATGAAAGAACCCTTTTATGGAAAATCATATTCATCATTCCTAACACTGGTAAGATACGATGGATAACTGACATGAGAACTGAAAATCTCATGACTTTCTCAGTTCTTCGTTAGATAAATTAAGAACAAATCCAAAGAGATAATGAAAGGGACAGCCATGAAATATGGTAGAAAAGAAGCTTATGGAAATAAACTTACCCCATTCGGATAATGATTAATAAACAGTTGCTGATCATTGTACATGCTTACAAGCATAAGGCCATTCTTAAGATCCTTTGTCAACATGCGCTTGTTTATCATATGGTTGTGGAGGGCATTGTACAGTTCAATATTTACATTGTCAATCAAATTACTATGAATTTCCTGAGGAAGAAAATTTAGTTAGCTATTTCCTGGACAATTTCTAAAACAACTAGTTATGCAGATTTCTTTGCCACAAAGTATGCTTTCAGCATATTTTTGAATGTTTATGTCATTTGACTAAGTAAATTGTTTTATTTACATAACTTATTGGTATGCAGCTGGCTTGAGGACTCTCTAGTCCAATTAAGTATCAAAGACAGCAGGCCTTATTACCTTATTCAAGATTTTTTTGGTTTAGTACTAGGTTTGATTAGCATTGTGATCTAAGGAAAGTACCCTACATCACCCACAAAAATTACTGTCACCCTCCCTTATTGAAATTGCTTCAGAATTCATAACTGCTCCCAAAGCTATGCTGATGAGACTAATAATGATAGTTGTATTTATAAAACACTCAACACAAAAGTAATCTGGGTGCTGATCCACAGTCATAAAAATAATTTCTCATGGACAGTATTCAAACAGATATCCTTTGCCACTGTCATTTATTCTAGAACTTTTTTAAAAAAAATTAAATACCTGTGCTTCTTAAACATAGCTTAGTATAGAATAATATAGGCATTGAATTTACATATTTATTTCTTATATATAAAAAACATTGTTTTTTCTAATGTAGTTTAACAGAGACATTGTAGATACAAAACAAGATCCCATGTCATTACAATATAAGTGTGAGTATATATGAATATATATATAAAAATATAGTTACTCTGTCCAACAGTTCCCATGCTTCATTGCTCGGTGCAAAGAATGTGTATGATCCCCCTCCTTCAATTTCTTCTCTCAGCTTTGACATGTCAGAATACCGTTGGGTGGAAGTTGCTCCCACAATGCCCAAGGTACCATAAACATGGTCAATAGGAGCAACTAAAATACACAAGACAAGAATTCTGTAAATTAATTGACAAGTCAGTCTCTCCAAATCATACCTATTACCATTGTTTTAACTGTGGAGAATCAGCTCGATAAAACCCTTATAACTAACCATTGCTTTTCCAATGCCATAATTTGAGTTCAAATTAAGAAAAATTTGCAATATAGGGCCCAGAACAAATAACTCAACAAATACCCAGAGGGGAGGAATACTCCACCTTAAGTTGGGGAAAGGTCAAAGTCTCAAACTTGTGTTTAGAAAAAAATCAAAATGGCATTCTGATTTGATTTTTTCTAAATGAAACTGATGAGTCTCCTGGAGTCCCAGCTACCAATTGGTAGGCTACTGACAAACATGGAAACCCTGACAATTTAAATTAGGGCTCCCAGGGTTGCCAGGATCCTGGCAGCCCATGAGACAGGTGAGCTGACAGAAAACTGGATAGGTTTCCCTTGAAAAATCTGCTTGGTTTCTATGGGAACATTTGACAACATTAAAAATTTCCTGAGAAATCTTTTGAATTTGACATTGGCATTTTCCCATGAAACAATGTTCCACTGGAAAATATATGGCCAGCCAAATCTACTGAATAGTCGTTGGTACCTCTTATGCATGCCTGATAGCCATCCCTTATCCTGACTCAAGGGCCATCTCATCTCCAGTCCCTGCTTCTGCCTTATCGCTCACTGTACTCAATGCTTCTTGGTCCACTGTAAGCAACCACATAATTGACACAGAAGACAGGCACAAGACATGCAAGCCTCCTGGACAATTCCTCCTTACACAGTGGGACTGTAGTACTTCTGCTGGAAGGCAGCTTCATATTTTAAGGGTTGAGGTGTAATTTTTTTATAAATGGCCTCTAATTTTGATGTATTCGACATTGGACATCTAAATGCCAAGACCTTGGAGATGATTCTGAGTGGTGCTGTCCACACTCACGGACACCAAATGAGGTTATAGGGGCTAGGTCACCACCTCTGGGAACCAAGCCCTACCTGTTTCAGATGAGGCACCCAAAATTACAGGACAATTTTAGAAGTGTTCTGTGTTAGAATGAGTCCCATATATTAAGATTGTGTGCATCTATGACTGTACCTGCTGGGCAGCCTCTCATTCCATCCATCTTCATGTATCCAGGGCAGCATTCATATAGGACTGTTCTGCAGGGTAGAGATAAAAGCTGCATTATTTGAAGTACAAACCAAAACGATAACAAATACAATAATTCTTTTTAACAAAATATGTACTTCTATTCAGTTTCCACGGCTAGAGTTACCTAGTCATATTATTTTTTTAACATTCAGCAACCTATTTTCTATTGGTTTCAAATCAGGTATTATTAACTGGTTCCACTGTACTGTGTTCAGTAGTTACATAGCATTTTAAATACACAACACTTCCACAGTTGTGAAGGTTGGCAAGGATATTAGAATGGATGTGGGAGGATAAGTGGAGCTAGTGAAGGGACTTGTAAAGGGGAATGATGTGACTGAAATAGCAGGTGAAGAAAATCAATCTGATGGTGACATTTTGGCTAAGAAAGGATGGACTGAGGAAAACCATATAGAAGATTATAAGAAGGATCAAAAGAACCAAGGGTTGAGAATGGAGGGGGGGGGTGGGTTATCGAGCCATGGACAAGTTTTTGGAAGTGGGGATGTAGAGAAAAAAGTGCCTACTTTACCAGTTTAAACATGAAGGGTAAATTGATGGTAATTAGAGTAATGAAGGAAAATAAGATCACCCAGTGATAGTAGAAAGGAATGAAGGTGGCAGGTTAGGAATAGTGCTAAGAGGAAGTGGGAAGAAGTGGAGCCACTGAGTTTGATGTTGAAATAGAAATGCAAGAGGTAGAAAGGAGACCCTTTCATGAACAGAGTTGTAAAAGCCAAGACAGGCGGTAATGAGTACAGATTGACTGGTTATATTGAAAGAAGAGGAAAAATCAAGGAAGATGGAGAAGATAAGAGAAAGGTCATTGGTAACGTTGGTGAGAACAATCTCATTAGTTAGAGTGAGGATGAAAGCCAGACTGGAGCAAATCATGGACAGAGATAATAGAGAGGAAGTGAAGGTGGCAGGTGTAACGGTATGTCTACACTACAGAATTTTGTCAGAAAAACAGCCATTTTTCTGACAAAATTTGAGGAACGTCCACACTGCAATTGCATTCTTCTGTAAGAAAATCGAAAGAACAGAGGGGATTTTCCGGCATTGGTAATCCTCATTCTATGAGGAAGAAGCCTATTTTGCGAAAGAGCTCTTTCACAAAAAGGTATGTATGGACGGGGAAGAGGGAGTTATTTCGGAAGAAGAGGAAAGAGGAAAAAGCACATATGCCCTTGTGGTCATTCCGTCCATAGCAATCAGAGCTTACATGTGAGAGAGCATCCATTCAGTCTGGACGCTCTCTTTTGAAAAAGCAGATTGCTTTTTCGATACACTTTTGCAGCACAGATGCTCTCTTTCGGAAGAAGTTTTTCCGGAAGATCTCTTCCAAAAAAAAGCTTCTTTCAAAAGAAGCCTGCAGTCTAGATGTAGCCTAAGAGAAGAGGGAGAGGAGGATGGAGATGAGCTAAAAATGGGATAGAGCTTGTTGCATAGTTGTTCAGGGAAATCACCCCACCTTTGAATTTAGAAACTGTATTTTGGTTGAGATTTAGCAGGTTGGTGCTAAATGTAGTGTTTCATTCAGCATTATGAATTATTTTTTATTGAACCTTATTGATTTGAAGGGGGCAACAAATTTAAAGTAGACATCTATAACCAAATTCAGCCCCATTGTAAATAGGCATACCACTACTGAAGTCAATGGAGTTACGGCAAGGATGAATGTGTTTGCTAGGGAATAAAAGAACCTGAGGAAATTATATGGACTTACTGAAACAGAAAAGTAACATAAATCTTTAAGCTCTTTCTTCTGTGGTTATGGCTTTTCAAAGTAATTACCACACACTAAATTACTGTAAAACATACAATAAAAACTTTACATGATGTTTTTTAATGCATGAGGCTGATCTGGGATTAAGTCATACTCCCTTCAGGCAGTGCTGAAGTTCCAATAGTAACTCATTGAGGACTGTGGAATCCAAACCTACAAACATATCAAGGGATCTCAGTTCTGAAGCTGGAAGCTCCCTAGAGGAAGCTGTGGGTTTTTGTAGGTTTTTTTTGGACTGACATAGAGCTAACATAATATTAGCAAGAAATACATTAAACTAAAAGGCTTGCTCAAATTACTTGAAAGTTGGAATTTTCAGAACTCCACGATAAAAATCTACTTGAAGACACTTGAAAATGAAAGCAGACAAAAATAAAAACATTACAAACCATGAGTTTAAAATGGGAGTCTGAGCTACTTAATTTATTGCAAAGTGACAGCTGGTAAAGAACAAAGAGCTTTTTTGTTATATTTTGCTCTACCATGTTAGATTTGATTGTGCTATGAATGCAGGTTGTTTGACTCCCTATTTTCTCTTTTAATTCTGATTTTAAAATGACTCCACTTATTTTTCAGATGGTTAAACTTTATATGAGATAATTCTAACGGAGCTTTATAGAAGTTCTGGCCAACTATGTAATATACTTCTCTCTGCATGATGACAATTCATTTCATATCCATCCCCCACACAGGCAAGATTGAGAACTGTACATTGTAGGTTACATACTGCAACAGGTAGATGAACATGCAAACCTGGCACGGATAAGACTGGATTGAGTTTGGAGAAGGGTTGTGCCTTCCCCAGATTACTCAGCAAATGGCAATAGTGAAAACTGCTCCCTCATAATGGGTGCAACCATTGTTCTGCTGCCTCTCTCCCTGTGCATCCAAAGATACACTTTTGGAGTGGTGCCTGGCTCTTTCACAAGGCACACACACAAGCATGGGGAGAGGGGTTCTTACACATTCATCCTTGCTCCATGCTCATCCATGTTAGAGTCAGGCACAATTTGGCTCCTGAGGAATCTCTACCACAAACCAGCATGGCAGCTGCCATGCAGGGAATTTCATTCTTGTAAGAAAACAGACTTCCTTCAGATTGAAAATATCCTGTGTGGTTTTTACATCTCACTTAGCTTTTGATAACAGAAGAAGGGCTAAGCACTTATCGGACATTGCATGTGTACTCTTAAAAAAATGCAGTATGACATGAGTACAATTTATGAGGCAGAAAATTGGCCAAAAAGCACAAAGAACAAAGAAAATCCTTTCCTGGCCCAAAGCCACAATGTTTGTAACATACAGCATGCTTCCTCTGAGGGTTGCTAGAAATTTAAGTCTGCAACCAGAAAGCTGATGTAAGATGTTTCTCAAGTATGGGTAGGTGTAATGGAGTAAGTGCTGTCAATAGACCCAATGCTGAAGTAACTGGAACATGCAGCTTCTGTTGAAATCAGTGTAAGCCATGGTTACTCAGCACCTTTCAAGTTGAGTGGCAATTTAGAAGAGGGAAAAAAATAGCCCCTCCCCCCACCTCCCTATAGGGAAATACTGTATAAAACCCAAAGCAAAGTCATCATTACACTAATGTCACACTCCCAAAACTTTCAGCAACGTAATTTGGAAATTTAGCACACGATGTTATGTTGATGAAGAGAAGTGGCTCTTCAGATAATGACATAATACTGTTTTCTTAAGAAAAGAAAAGCAGCTTTATGCCACTCCCACCTCAGTCCAGGGTTAAAGAGTGGTCTCAAGAAAAAGGCACATGGCAGGGTATCTTCTATGAAGGGTGGAGCAGCCTGTTGAGGCAGTGGGTGGCTCACATAGCTTAGAGTGGCCTTGAGGCTTGTTTGCAAATTATCTGTCTTGGTAGCAGACATAATAAATTATTAAAACTACAAATCTCTTTATAAGCCAATAGGTCCCTATTTCTAAAGAGCCTCAGGTCAGTAGTTCTGCTATGGAATTAGTAAATACCATCATAAATGGGAAATGATTGCATGTGTGTCTTTTGGTGTCTTTTGTACATTTTCTAAATCAGCACATAAAATCTGAGGAAAGCTACCCAAGAATTATAAGCAAGAACATTGCTTTTAAAATGAGAAGGAAGCAAACTGATCTATTTAGGAAGAACTATCTTTCTGTCTTCAGAGTTGTTCAGAATCTTCTGTTAATTACATTACTTTGGAAACCATCTAAGTTATACCAGATGTTCCATTGTTACTACACAAAAAATACCAGCAATCTTATCATTTAATCCAAATCCAATCCAAAATTTTGCTTCACATCTACTCTTTCTAGTATTTGAACATGCCAAAAAGTGCCAAAGCAGAGTTCAGAATATATGTTCTTTGTGTAACTTCACTGCCACTGAATCACAACTACACTCAAAGAATCTTATTTTAAGTACTGTAAAATCTCTTTGTGACCTCCAAATATTACTTCTGTCAAATCATAACTCCAGCCATCAAAAATAACTCATGCTAGCAGTGTGGCACAGCTGAATAATGATTCTTTATGTCATCTTAAAGCAGTCAGCAGTCTTTCACTTAGGGTATGTCTAGACTACCTGCCTCTGCCGACAGAGGCATGTAAAATAGGCTACCTGACATAGTCAATGAAGCAGAGATTTAAATATCCCCGGATTCATTAAAATAAAAATGGCCGCCGAGCTGTGCCGGCTCAGCTGATCGTTGGCACAGCTCGCGAGTCAAGAAGCAGATCAGTCGACAGGAGAAGCCTTTGTCGACCGCTCCTGTAAACCTCATTCCACGAGGCATAAGGGAGCGGTCAACAAAGGCTTCCCCTGTCGACCGATTCACATCTTGACTCCCCCACCGGGCCA